GATCACACCGGCTCCGATGGCATAATTGCCCGATGGAGTTTGGATACTCGTCTACTAGAAGCATTCGACAGAGAAACACGTTCCCTACCGGGGTGGTTTGTGAGCCTTAAGCTCACACAAGCGGTCCTTGTGGCGGATTGTGGCTGCGGAATGAGCACGAAAATCAACGTATTTGTTCCTTTAAGGTTTGCTTACAATCAGGGACAGACCATTTCTGGGCCCAATGGCGAAGGTCCGGATTCTGGTAAATCCTGATGGTGTTTTGAGGGGAAAACATTTTTGCAATTGTACAATTGCAATGTCTCAGGACCGTGTGCAAAGAAAACAACCCGAGTGAAATGTTTATGCATAAAATTGATCATTTCATCTGCCCAATTTTCAAAAGGTGTCTGTAAACAGTGTTTCTGTACATCAGTCACACCTCCCTGCGTCACTGCTGTTGCCCCCGGGAGACACCAATGACCAGTCTGAGTCAAATCACCGATTCACATGTGCAGAACATCCGTTCTCTTCGTCACAGTGACAACTCTGGGCAGCGGCGGCAATAAAGAGCCCGAGAAACAAAACCAGGTGGTTGAGTGAGATCGAGGGGGGGGGGGGGGCGTTGTATTAACACAAACCGACGGCCCACGGCGCTTTCCGGTAAAAAAAAAAAATCCTAAACGGAGCAGACAGACAACCAATAAAACAGAAAACTATCTCAGCCACCGTATGGCTGCGGGGAGATGGAGACCCCCCCTTCCCCCCCCCGGTTGTCTTTCTCATTTCGGCGCGTTTGAAGTCAGCTGGTGGCCGCGTGGAGCTGCTGGATTCCTCGCTCACCTTCCAGCTGATCGAGGAGGGGGGGGGGGGGGCGATGGGGAAGCGGTGGCCTGGGCCGCGCTGATAGCGCTCCTTAAACAACCTCTCCACATTACGTATTCACCGCGAGAGGATGAGCGCATCGCTGTCGCTGCATACAGTCATCGGCGCTTGGCCGCGCGCATGTTGGAAGTTTGCTGTTCCCCTCTGGGGAGGAGAAGTTTACTGGTTACACAAACACAACGTACAGAGATGCGTAATCTAGTAAGAGAAGTCGTCTGCAGCCCTGCTTACGCATCCAATCAGATCAATTAGTCGATGTGATTTGCTTAATTGGTGGAGGCCTCTGACTCGTGGCCAGTGTGTAAACTGTGTGCTTGTGCGGTGGCGAGCTCGTTAATGGGACTGTAGAGACGGTCGGTGGGGTCGGGTGGGAAAGCAAAGGCAGCGCGGAGGCTTCTGTGTGTGTGTGTGTGTGTGTGTGTGTGTGTGTGTGTGTGTGTGTGCGTGTGCTCCTGTCTACTCCCTTTGATTTGTTTACACAGCGGCCGTCCATAGACACTCTGCTTGGCCACGTTAAACCACTTCTCCTAATCTGCCACCTCAATTAATACCAGACTAAAAACACACACACACGCATGCGTAGCGTACAGCACACACACACACACAGATACACAAAAACACCACAGTGCTTTGGCATTCACTGGTCCAGACGCGCTAATCTGTCCCGCTGCAGATTGGAGTGTGCAGTTGCCAAAGACGATCAGAGCACCACGTCGCCTCGGTGGAACTCGGGTAACAGTTGGGGGAGAGAAAAGCCTTTGTTTGGAAGAGGAAAATCACCGGAACCGCCGGCAATCGCATCGGAAGCTTACGAGTTCGCTCGATGTCCAGTATCACCTAATTACCGTCTTAATCAAGTGTCGCCGAGCAAGACACCCAACCGCCGACTGGTCCATTAACAGCGGCACAATCAGCTTAGCGGACGAGTCTTAAACAAACGAAAACCGCCTTAAAACTTCCACTTGGAATGGAGCGCTCCTCATTACGCAGTGACTCGTCACCCTCCTGTAACTCTGTCGCAGAGTGCGATCCCATAATGAGTGCAGGGGGAAAGTGATACAACATGTTTATTGCCTCACGCGAGGCAAACACAAACGTCTAATTTAAGGAGCGGGGTGTGTGGTGGGGGGAGGAGGGGGAGGCGCCCGCTGTTGCGTGGGTGCCAAACTCCACCCGGATCGTCGCAAACGAGTCGCGGAGGCCGCCGGCTGGTTCGGTGGGCGCTAACGTTTAGCATCGCATCGTTGATTCAGAGAATATCGGACATATTTATTCAAGTCCTCTGTCCACTACTCCTGTTGTAATGATCCTAATGTTGTATTCAGAAAAACGCCCCAAAACGCCGTAAATAAGAGATCCAAGAACCATGAAAGATTCTGTGGGACGAGGGGACCTCAATCGTGTCCCTCCTGGTTGTCTGTCCGTCTTTCTTCTCGCGTGTCTTCTGACTTGTCCGTTCAGTCCAGAGGCAATATTAGCTTTGGTGGTTTGTGAGACGCAACCTCACAGCAAACACACACAAACACACACAAACACGTCTCCAGAGGGCTAACCCTGTTATAGGACGCGTTGCGCAATCTGTCTCCGCGCATCAGCATTAGAATTTCAAAGTAGCGTTTGATTGTTTGATCTCATTTTCCAAAAACGATTGTCGAGTTATAAAAAATGTAAAATAAATCTGGTGGAGAAAAAAAAAGAAAAAAAAAAAGCAATTAGCATAAAGCCGCGGTTCTATTAATACGCCGTGTTCTCTGCAGTCTTCTGGATGGTTGTGATTCATAATTAACGGTGAAGGAATCCCATTTTCACCTTCTGCTTCGGTTCCCCAGTAGAGCGGCTCTCTGAGGGGGGTGGGGGTGGGGGGGGGGCGACAGCAGCCAATCAGGAGACGCCAGGAAGCGCCGCCGCGGCGTCGGGCTTCGCTAGCTGGCGGGTGGCTGCCACTTTTTGCCAATTACGATGTGTGAGCAGGACTTCTGTTCATCGCGAGTCATCAAAGGGATCTGTTCAGCTGAACGAGAGGACGGAGCACTGTCTCCTCCTGACGGGGACATGTCTCATGGGACGTCATTCATATATCGACGTACAAATGTTGGTTTAAATAAAACGAAGCTACGACGCAAGAAAAATGCTACCAAAGTTCTGCTGAAGGTTGCGGTGTGAATACCTGCTCGATACCCGTTGTCCCCGCGCTGAAGCACAGCAGCTGTATATTACAATAACTATATCTATATATTCGGACAATCTTTATTGACCATCTTTCTTCCGGGGCCCCCGAGGCGCCTGACAGCTGCAGTTTATCTCCATGACAACGAGGCCGGCACTAAACGCACCGACGGGAGGAGATGATGGAAACACGGCGCCCGGGCTGCATGGATTAGCGCTGTTCATTTCTCGCTCGGCGGTGCAGGCCGAGTGAGGCTGAGTGAGGCTCCCACGCCGGCCTCACCGGGGGCCGGCGACACACAGTCCCTCGCCAGGCAGCGGCGACGCCGGGAGGAAGACTCTCCCTCGCCACCACATATGAGCCGAGGGAAGTCGTTTTTTAAAAACCAGGATGCTCTCCAGGTTCAGGTGGATTTTTTTTTTAAAGGTGCTTTGATTCTCACGTGGTGATTCAATTTTAGTTTAAATGTTACAATGTCACATAAGCAAAATCCATCCGCCTTTTTTGGGGGAAATTATTTATTTAAAAAAAAAAATAGACATTTTGAAACATTTCTCTGTGTTTTGCCAGCAAAGGGCAGCGTTCCTGTCACGGTGACACTGGGCTCATTGACATCGTGTTTTCTTGGACATTTTGTGTGAGGACAAATCCAGAAGGAGCTTTGTGTAATGTAACAGCTGAGTGGTGAAGAAAGTAAGTAAAATCTTTTTGAAATGTCACAGTCTCCCTCTCTCTCTCAGCTCGGCTGAGCACCATTACTGGTGAAAACGCTCCCTTTTCCTCTCCAGTCAGCCGCCGCTCGAGTGAGAGATCAGGCTTTAAAGCCGCTCCATTTGCTTCCTTTGTGCCATTCTGGATGAATTAATTATGTGATGAAAAGAAGCAACACGGGACATTTACTGTGGATTATGATGAGAACAAACTTACTAACAAGTTCTCACAGTGATGGTTTGCCCCTTGAAGGCAGATGGGTTCATTTATTACATCCTCTGTTATCCAAAAGGAGATGAAATGAAGCAGCTCGTGTCCTCGGGAAGACCAATTGAAAGACAAGCCGACAGTGCAGTGGACGCAGCACTGCGGTCGTGCTGCGATACGAGACCGGCTCTCATGAATAATGCAGCCGAGGGCCGGCCGGCCGGCCGGCCTGCGGGGCAACGATCCTCGCGCAGGGAAATTCAAAAAATTCTATTCAAAAGGAGTGTGTTTTTTTTTTTTTTTAAACGTAAATGAAGCCGAGGGGTCGCGCACCTCGCCCGGCGTCCCCTGCTGGGTTGGACCCCTCACCCACGCGGGGCCCGGAGACAAATGATCACAACAAGGTCCCCGAACCAACAAGTGTATTCAAGCACGACGGCCCTCGAATTACAGAGAATTACACCAATAAAAACAGACTATTATCTCCCTGGTGACCCCGACGCAAAGCAGAGGAAAAGAGTGAGTGTGTGTGTGTGTGTGTGTGTGTGTGTGTGTGTGTGTGTGTGTGTGTGTGTGTGTGACGGGGCAAGGAGTGAATACGCAATGACCGCAGCATCTGTTGAGTCCTTTAAGTGATGCATCACTGCACTCGGCTTCGCTTTAGCGTCCACTTCGTCTGAGTTAATTAGGATCCAGGAGGACAACTAAATTAAGGGGGGACGGCCTTGTTTATCGTCACGGCGACACTCGTTAAGCGGATATCTTTTTTTTTTATCTTTCTTCGAGACCGGGAACATTAACACACCCTCTACAACTGCAGCGGGGGGACGGGGGGGGGGGCGTCAGTATACGTTTACTTTCGCTTTTGATGCGCCAGCTGCATCTAGCAGCTCGTGTGCAGCAGAGTGAAGCGCGCACAAGCAGCTCGACACAACTCGACATGTGCTGTAAACAAATGTATGCTGCTCATACGCATACATTAAACACACACGCACACACACACACACACACACACACACACACACACACGCCAGGCAGGGAGCTGTCCTACCTCTCGACGGCGTGAAGCCCAGCAGGTCTGTTTGACCTTCCAAACCACGGCAGCGACCAGTAACAGAGACAGGAAGCAGCTGGAGGGGAGAGACGGACAGCCGATTAATTGGAGATCAGCAGTCCTGCAGGAACAAACATTTTCCTTTTCCAATAAAGTCGTTAAATAATGGGACGGGTCCAAACGTTGATTGAACGTGAACGGCTGACACGATCCGAATGGCCTTTAACGCTATTAGAGGCGTTATCTCTAGACACGCTCAAAGAGGTTGAGAGGCTCAGCTTCGGGTTTCACCGGGATGGAAACTTTAAATGTAATAAGATAATGAAAACAGAGGAAACCTCGGATGTTAATAACATGCATATGTACTTATGGACTTTTTACAGCCCACTGTGCTCCACATTATACAATTCAACCCCGGTCCAGTATCTGCAGATTATATTATAAAAATAGCATCATCCTAGTGGGACTTAATTGGCCTTAAAAGAAATAATAACGTAAAATGCAGAAAGGAAAAAATCCTCTTCACACCCATTTACTGTCCCCCCGCTCCCGTTTCCAGACGACCAAGGAGGGAGAAATCCTCCAGCGATCTGTGGCGAGATGCGAGACCGCGGTGACCGCAGGCAGCTGGGGATTCTGGGGCCGCCAAGGTCAACCAGCAACATGATGCTCTCAACAAAGAACAAGGTCTCATGTACACACAGACACACACACACACACACACACAGCCTGAGCGTCCAATGTCTGGAGGGCTATCAGTTCTGTGGCTAAAGACAAAGCTCCTCTCTCAAGCAGAACTTCTAACGAGAGCTCAAAACAAGCGCGCCCAAAGATTTACCAACAGGAAGTCCCTGAGAAACTGCTGAGGACGGCAGCTCTGAAACAATCCTCCTCTTCATCCGTGCGTGTCTGTGTGAGTGTGCGCGTGAGATGCGTCACCATGCGCAGGCGGCAGCAGCGTAAAGGGCATCTCTGTTGTAATGAGCGTGACATTTTCAGACCTGGTCTGCTGAAGAGGCTCCAGTCACGGCCTCTGGTGTCCACACCCGACCTCTCGGCTGCACTCTGAGCCATCACAACCAGGAAATAACCCCCCCCCGCCCCCTCCCCTCCCCGTCCCCCCCGGGGATGAGGACGCGATGCTCAATGCCGCCGCAGCCTCCAGTTTAAAGACTTTTTCAAGATGATGAGAAAAGCTTTCATTTAATGGACTTAAAAATTCCCCGACAAGGTACTTTACGGATATCATTTCAATACTGTGTGACCCCCCCCCCCACTGATAACGTCCAACACCAAACACATATTCCAGCTCATGAGTTTCATTTGCAGTTTCCATCACAGCTGGAACACAAGACAATGTGTCCGGACCTTCGACTGGTACATGATGACGAGAACATGTGATGACTGCAACGAGGCGTCATTCAGCCTAACGATATTTTCAATAACCAAGAGGTGTTAGTGGCTTAAACCTCTCCGATGAAAGCAAAGACAATTCAGCACCTCCCTCTCTGTGACCTTCCATCCTCCAAAACGCACCTCCGCCGGCTGAGATTCCGTCCCAGTCAGGCCGACACCCCCCCCCCCTGTTTCATTCGCCATCGGCTCGCCGAGCCACAAATGGGGCGCAGGGCGCGAGCCTAGCCGTCCGGGGGATGGAGCCGGATTGCTAAATTGTCGCTATTACCAGAGCATTAAGGAGAGGGATGAAGGGGGGCGGAAGGGGGGGGGGGCGCCACACCCAGAAATTCCTGTGGTTTTTTAAACCCTCCCTGGACCTCTTTAAAAGTTTTAGCGTTGGGGGCGGCCCCCCCCCGGGAAAAACCCCTCCACCCGAGGGACCCGCGGGGGGGGGGGGGGGGGGGCACAGCAGTGCGTGTACATGATTGTGTTCTTGCTTTTTTTTTTTAAGTGGTGCGCCGGCTTGGTTTAAACAAGCAACAGGAGGCTTCCAAAAGCGCAAGATACACAACGCACACACGCACGCACACGCAGGACAAAACAATGAAACATCTGAACCCCAGCGGGCAGAACGGAAAAAATCAATAAGCTATTCGTTGAACATGAGCCGCAGAGAGCTCACAATCGGAAACAGCTTTCCATCTCCACAAACAGCAAATCAACTCGCTGCAGCTTCTGGTCCTGTAGGATGTTTGACATATTAACTTTTATCCATCGGTCACCCCGAGGATCTTTGCCTTTTATCGAACTGCTTTTTTTTAATTTTCTATCTTTGCCGTTTGCACTTTTAGACAACAAGGATGTGGATTAATTGAGTGAAAGCTCCATCCGTGTACCAGATGGCTGCTTCACATATTTAAACTTCCTAATAAACTAACTCTTAAAAGAAACAATTCTGTGGTAGGAACTACATTTTATGTCCTGCCGTCCTACCAGCCTGTCTGTACTTCTGACAACTTCCGCAAGCTAAACTTACAAGCCATTGGTGAGCTTTTCATATCGCAGTCGTTGATGATGAGGGTGGTCGCCCAAAAATCAGAATGTGAGACTTTATCCAAAAAAGTGGGGCACGTCCACTTTCATTGTCTGTTGAAACAGCAGGTAAGTTGTGAGTTTCCTTCAGTCACAACAGTGCAGCTCGTCCTACGACGCTTCAACGCATGCAGGATGAGACGCACTAGGGTCCATCCACGGTAAACGTACATGCAGAGCGTCCTTTCAAACTAAACCTCTGTTCAGAAGGTAAGGAGTAGGCATCTAAACCACTTGGTGAGTTTCAGGAACGGTCATTTGCAAATGAAGTGGGCGAGCTCGGGGAGCCACTTAGCGCCAAGTAGCTTCTCTGCTGTTTTGGGAAAGAGAGAGCGGAAGAGACACACAGAGAGAGAGAGAGAGAGAGAACTGATTGCTAATCAAGCGAGCAAGAGCCGGGAGTAATTGGAAAAAGCTGAGCCGCAGTGTCACCAATTAGCATTGGAGGCTGTGGAAGAGCGTAAATGCTGTTCTGTTATGACCATTTTCCTTTTTTCTGGCCTTCATTTAGAGGTGACATACAATACACGAGCATGGAGCTAGAGACAGGAAGAGGAGGGAGGACGGGGGGGGTTGAAACTTTTCTCACAGCTAATCAGAGACACATGATGTGAAAACATTATGCAGTTAATCTTCTGAAAAATACATTTTTAATACAACTTAGAAAGTACAAGTATCGAAGCAGTTAAATATAGTGAAATAAGGTTTCACACGGGACATGATAGCGGCGTCCTGAGTGAAAGTCCTGCGTTTAGTCTTTTTCACCCACCCATCATTTCATTGTGTTGTGCTGCGTCACAGACAGAAGCTAAAGGGCGGCCTAGTGCGTCCCGTATAGAAGCTAAAGGGTGGCCTAGTGCGTCCCGTATAGAAGGTAAATGGTGGCCTAGTGCGTCCTGTATAGAAGCTAAAGGGTGGCCTAGTGCGTCCCGTATAGAAGCTAAAGGGTGGCCTAGTGCGTCCCGTATAGAAGCTAAATGGTGGCCTAGTGCGTCCTGTATAGAAGCTAAAGGTGGCCTAGTGCGTCCCGTATAGAAGCTAAAGGGTGGCCTAGTGCGTCCTGTATAGAAGCTAAAGGGTGGCCTAGTGCGTCCCGTATAGAAGCTAAAGGGTGGCCTAGTGCGTCCCGTATAGAAGCTAAAGGTGGCCTAGTGCGTCCCGTATAGAAGGTAAATGGTGGCCTAGTGCGTCCTGTATAGAAGCTAAAGGGTGGCCTAGTGCGTCCCGTATAGAAGCTAAAGGGTGGCCTAGTGCGTCCTGTATAGAAGCTAAAGGGTGGCCTAGTGCGTCCCGTATAGAAGCTAAAGGGTGGCCTAGTGCGTCCCGTATAGAAGGTAAATGGTGGCCTAGTGCGTCCTGTATAGAAGGTAAATGGTGCCCTGGTGCGACTTGTGTAGAAGCCAATGGTACCATTATATAACTAAATGACCTGAATACCTTTTCCAGAACTGGAAAAAAAGATGCATGCATGGCATTATATAATGGAGCAGCACACAAACCAACAACAAATAGGGAAAACGTCCCGTAGTAGCACATAACCTTTTCTCTCTGAGAATCTGGTGCAGTGCAGAAGAGAGAATCTCATAAACAGAGCGGTGACTAAACCACACACACACACACACACACACACACACACCTACACACAGAGAGAAACAACACCAAACTCTCCCGGCAAAACTTGACACAGTCCCCTAATGATGACATCATCCCTCTGTGCTGGCCTAAAGGTCAGTGGCGTCCGGAAGCCGGCCCTGGGCACAGAAATGGCTCACTTCCTCACATGGCTGCACACACACACACACACACACACAAGCACGGACACGCACCCACATCTCTGCAGGAAACGCACACACAGTTGAACACACACTTGCCCGGCGTCTTAATTGAGTGGCAGAATCTTGCCTGAAGACATCAGACTTCCATCCAGACGTCTTTCCCAAGACTCCCTCAAAAATGGACAGCACTGGTTTTTAATGGACTAAAGGTGAAGGCAATCATTTTTACATTCATCCTCAACCTTGTTAAGAAGTAGTCTTATTACACCAGGGGTGGAACCAGGAACAGCTGGAGAGAGTGTTTGCGTGAGCTAATATACATGACACGTCAATCATCAACAAATTTGCAAGGGTGTAAAACACTGTTGTATCAAAAGCCTCCAACATTCACGCGTGTTTGCGTAGTAACGAATGCACGGTGGCCGTACTTTGCCCATGTCGGTATTAGACACATAAAACTAAGCACTTCAATACATTTTGTATGTCTGATCTTTATCTGCATCTGAGCTACTCGAGAGCTCGGGGGGGTCAAGTGTCCTTCCTGTGGCACAGAGTAGCCCCAAAGCGTCTGCGGGGGCTAAAACCACCGAGTAGCCGAGGCCTGTGAGGAGCAGCTGCACAAAATACACAACATAGGACAAGCGTACCTGAAGAAGGTGACGAAGAACTGCACCAGGTCCATGATGCTGTTGTGCTGCGAGAAAGCAATCTGTTGAAATAGGGACATAGGGACAGAGAGAGAGCGTTAAATCCACACAGCAGGCATTTGGATTTAAATGTTGAAAAATAAAATATATTTATTTATAATAAAATATATTTATTTTTCAGCACATGTTTGAACTATTTTTGTTGCATCATTAAATAAAAACAATTAAAAAGAATAATAAATATGTTTCCATTTGTTTCATCAGCACACACGCAAACATTCCTCCCACCTCATCTCACCTTCTCAAAATACAATCGCTCCCCAGTAACATGTATGTTCATGTGCAACGTTGACGCCGCATCATGTTTAGAGGATTATTTATTACAGACATAAATAAATAAGTCTTTTATTCACTGACTTTTTTTAAACTCAAGCTGAAGGTTTATATTTCATCTTAATTGGCTTCAAAGACTCAAAGTCGGCATTTTCCTTCACACGTCTTTAAGACATGCAAATAAGCACGTGACCTCCTTCGGGTCCTCATGACAGGTGGACCGCCGAAGATCCGCTTCCCAGTCAGACCGCATCGGTCAGCAAAGTGTTGATTCAGCTTCGAATGGCCTCTAATAGCCGGAGAGGCTGCGTCTTTGTCTTGAGCAAATCCTCAGAGACCAGTTGGGTGGAGGAGGGTGGAGGGGGGGGGTGGAGAAAGGAGCGGGGCAGAATGGACTTAAGAGGTTTACTGGCATTTGTGCAGCAGGTGAAATGGTCTGACGGGGAAAACGCTGCAGAAAAGCTGATTTTGGTCCAGAGGGACGCAGCATTAATACAGGCGTCAGGGAGAAGAAACGCCCGGCTTTGCATTCAGCCTCCCAACGCAGACGCCTGCATCGTTACCCGCTGACGGCGAGAGCACGTTTTATGGGAACACACAGAAAGGAAAAAGGAAGTAGATGGGAATCGTTCAGACGTGAATGCATCATACTCAGTGCAGTAAATGATTACAACATTAGATCCCTCCGAATACATCTTTCCCTCCACGCGCACACACACACGTGCACAAAACACACGTGCAGAAAACACACACGCGCGCACACGCACACGTGCAGAAAACACATTCAACTCCAGCCAACAGCCATCGTTTAAATTTACAACAACTGCAGTCGTTAAACAACTATATCAATAAGCTGTTTAGACCACACCCTTTCCTCCGTGACCCGGCCCACTGCAGCGCCGCACACACACACACACACGCACACACACACACACACACACACCTTACTGCGATCCGCTACGGCAGTATAACACATGGTGCGGTTCCTTCTGGGATGGTCGGGGTGGTGAATCTATTCCACATCTTGTGGTTTTGTTAAAGACAAACTTCCTTCCGTCTGTTGACAAAACGCGTTCACGGAAACGTCAGCGCTCGACTTCAGCAGCCAAAGGTCACAGGAGGAGCTCGGCCCGAACACTGGAGGTGTTTCCACACGCCGAAGAAGCACTGGCATGTTTCATTCAGGACATTGAACTTTATTGATTTGAAGGCGTTGGACGGATGAATGTGGCTGATGTGATAAACATTACGTTGTGTTTAATGTGCACATTTGAAGCTGCTCTCTTCAGATCGGGGGGGGGCAGCCGTCTGTTCAGAGGAAATATTTTGTGTCGTGTTGAAGCTAGAAGTGCAATTACAGGAGAGAAGAGGAGGAGGGGGGGAGGGGGGGAGATAAAAGAAGAAGAGGAATGACGACGTAAAGAAAGCCGGTTCATTACTGAGAGCCCCCGGTGGCCCAGCAGCTGTGACAGCACCGAGCCGCCTTTCATTTCCCGAACCCTGAACCGGGGGCTTGTTAAATCCTGCGGCGAGGGAACCAGTCCGGCTAATCAATACGGGAGAGGAGAGGAACGAGGCCAGCAGAGGGAAAGGGGGGCGAGGGGGGGGAAGGATGACGCAGGTAAAAACACAGAGACGAGGAGGAGAAGCTGCGGCACGAGATCGATGATCAGAGACGATGACGGCGGACGAAAGTAATCGGTTCATTCACTCTTCTCGCCTCCGGATGCGGCGGGCGAGAGGTCGGGGGAGACGCGTCGTATTCCCGCGTTTAGGACACGTCGCCTCGAATGTCTTTACCACACTCGTCCTCACACTCATGCATATTCATGAGGGGCCGAATGACCAAAGCGCCGCCTCCACCCACAGAGGAGCCGGCTGGCGTCCATCTGCAGCTCAAGCGGCAGCGGCAGGTGTAGCGCAGCGCCGTCTGACCCCGGAGCAGTCGCCGGGCCTTTCCGCCGCTCGCCGCTTACTTTGATCGAAAAAAAAGTCATCTCCCATGTTGTCTTTTCCTTTTAATCGGCCGACCCCCACGTTCAACGGGAGCAAATGTTTGACGAGCTCCACGCGTGAGATTCGTCCGGACGAGCGCCTGGCGTTTGAAGCTAACGCGCGACCCCGCGGCCTCTCAGCGGCGCACGCCGAGCGTTAACTTTGGGGGGTTGGGGGGCGCTTTCCACGCGTCGCGCGGGTTCGCAAAAAGAAGCGAACAGGCGCTCGTCTCGTCCCGGACAAAGACCCCCCCCCCTGCCTAATCGCTCCTGAGGTAGCTGATGACTGCTGATGACTTCCTGTGGGTTGGACGGGGAAGCGCTCAGCCGTCCCTCGTCTCCCCCCCGTATGGAACACAATACTGCCTCCATGAGATAGACCCTCTGAGTGTGTGTGTGTTCAGGGCACAGTTAACCGTTTCAGCTTCTGTTTAAATGCAATAAAGGACACTTTGGCACTGATACGATCGGAGAGGGTGTGTGTGTGTGTGTGTGTGTGTGTGTGTGTGTGTGTGTGTGTGTGTGATTGAGGCGTCCTATTTAACGGAGGATAATAAGTGACTGAGCGGCAAATCGAATCAAGCGGCCGATCGCGGCGGCTCGGGGGGGGGGGGGGGGGGGGGTGGGGTGGTTGGGGGCTCGGGCCTGCAGCAGAATGGCGGCTCACCTCTGACAGAAGGCTTTTAATCAGCTGGCCTTCTCGTTGAGAGAGAAGCAGGGTGGGGGGGGGCGGTGTTTGTCTTTGCTTCCTGTTCTTGATTTTAATTTAACGCCTCAGAAACATCGGGAGAGGAAACAAAGCGCTCTTATTACGGGCCTCTCTCGTGGAGATATCATTTTATGCTAAATTACAAACACAGATGTGCAAATTATAAACAGTCACGGTCTCAAGTTGCACAATTTCGGGGCTAAATGAACAGTTCGTTCAAAACACGGAGATGAAGAGACAAACTGGGTCGTGTTCCCAGAAGGTTTGCGGCCTCAATCAATAAAACATGTGTTTTTGATTAGAAAAGAATCCAGGCGAGTGCTTGTTTGTGGGGAAATTAAGCAGACAGAGATGATCTGCATTTGCCTGTGATATAAAATGTACTCATTATTTCTGCAGTGGCCTTATGGATTTCTATTGATGTTCTAAAACAGAGAACATTCCCTAAATGTTATGATGTAATTAAAGTAAAGTTTATAACTATTAAATGTGCTTCTCGATTGTCGGGCCGTTACGAGCTCTCATTCTACACACATTCCTTATTCCCAGGAACAGTTTGTGGACATTCCTATGCTGACTAATTCCAAACACGGGCGCGTTAAATGACACACGAGCGTTCGAACTCCGTGTCGGGTGGAATTCAAGGATTCAATGACTCGGCATCCTTGAAATTTTGCTGTGGAAGGATCCTTGCATGACTCAACTTCAAAGCCCTGACCCCCCCTTCCTCCTGTTCAATATTCCCTGTGTGTGAAGTGAACAGCTGAAGGGATCCTGCAGAAGGTCGCCCCCCCCAATCCATTCCAACCTGCGCAGCATTGTGGTAAATATGGTGTCACGCTGGTCGGTGCAGGAGGAAGCGAGGAAGGAGGTGCAAGGGCGGCGTGACACAAGCCATCAGCATCAGTTCCAGCAGATCCCAACGTCAGCGTCAGCTCGCCGCCAGGGAAACACTCACATGCTCCCCCACAGGTGTGTGTGTGTGTGTGTGTGTGTGTCGGCGTGCACGAGGATTTGTACCTTTCTAAGGATGCATTTCCTTTTCAGTTTTTGTGTCAGATCTGAAATGTTTTGTGTCTCAGCTTCTCTGACGAAGGTTAACAAGACTTTTCCTGACTGTTCAGTGTTGGTTCATTATCGCAACATTCGGGCCGTCGTTCCCAAACGATCAGATCTCCAAACATTACAGAAGAAAGGATTTTAAAAGCTACGTGCGGCCATTTTTTTGTCTGTTGGTCCACGAGAAAGTCGACCACTTTACTAATGACTACTCCACTGTGTGTGTGTGTGTGTGTGTGCGTGCAGGTCTATCAGATCCAATACATGGAGGTGGGGGTCATTACCAATTCTCAGGACACTTTGTCCTCCTCGCCCCCCGCTGCGGCGTCGGAAGCCACCAAGGTCACGGCGCGGGACGCCGAGTGCTCCTCGCGTTACGCGCCCGACAGCGCCGCGCGCGTAATTATCGTATCGCCTTTCAACCCGGCAGACATGTGGAGCTCCGATAATGTGGCATTAATGGGAAATGCATATGAGCGCCGCGATCGAAGGACAAGCGGCCCGTAACGAGGGGCGGGACACGCCGTCAAACGAGCCGCCTGGTATCGTCTCACAGACTAGAAAACATGTGTTCAGCATCTTTGCCTTCAAATTAACATGCATTTTCCCAGAAATGGGTGTGTTGTGTGAGCGTGTGTATGTGTGATATTTGTGTAGACAAACACACAACCTGACATACTGAGGCAGAGGACTCCACGTGTGGACGTCCCCCCCCTTTAGAGATCACAACATGTCTCGTAAGTCGTAAGCATCGTATCGCCCGAGCCGCTCACCTGGATCTTGTTCGGCCAGCTGAAGTTGGACACGTAGACGTAGAAGGTGATGTTGTGGTGGAGGCGGAAGTTGAACTTCTCACAGGAGAAACTGTCCCGGTGCTCCTTGATGTTGGTCCTCGCTATGATGGGCATCTCCTCCCCCGAGATGGTGCCGGCTGAGGGCGGCCCGACAGCGGTGTGAGAGGAATACAGCAGAGCAAAGTGCACAGAGACAGACAGGAAGGACAGGAAGGCTGATACTTACAGCTGGATATCTGGAGTTTAGCCCATGTGGACAAGGCAAAATAACGCAGATGTATAAATGACAGGTGTCACAGCTGACGGCCTTTCAGTCATTGTGAATAACACGTTCCCACCCTCTGCTGCATCAGGGCTATTAGTGTGCACACAACCGCTGTCTTACACGCTAAGAAGGCCCGCGGGCCCGAGCTGGGGAGCCCGTGGGGCCCCGAGACACCGAGCGGTGGGAGCCGAGGGCTTCCATCTTAATTGAAACCAGGAGGGGAAAAGTACAGAGCGGCCGAATGGCTAAATTGTGAAATAGCCTGTGATGTGTTTTGTCCGGAGAGGAACAAAACCCCGGCAGGCCAACAGGAGGCGGATCTGACCGTTTCACCTCGGCCCCACAATGACAATGACACGTCTCTGCGGGAAGACGGCGGAATGCTTCAGAAAGTTTTATATTACCGCTCACTTAGCTTCATTTGACAGAATCCCATGATAGACACCGACTGATGGCTTCTTTTCAGAAAGGATATTGCAGTTTTGGTAATTTTAGGATCTTCATGATTAATCCGAGACGCAAAACGCTGGATGAAACGAGCCTTTGATCTACTTCAGACAACCTGTTTCTGATTGTGTTTTCATTTCAAAGTAAACTCACACACGCTGCGACGGATCCTCGGATACAAGCGTTGTGATGTCTCACGGGAAGCTTTGTCGTGCACGTTATTAACAACCAGCAGCCTGCGGCTTGAGCCAGTTTGGTTTAAAACAGAAGTCTTGTGCCAGTAGCATAGGCCACTTTTTTATATATATATATATATATATATATATATATATATATAAATAATCAACTTCCTCTTAATATGGTCAGAATCAAAATAGTTAAAAATGAAAGAAAAGGGACCTTTACTCTGCGGCTGCTCAACTCTCTGCACAAAATCATGCAAATAAAAACACTGCAAGCAAATTAATCTTCCCGCAAATGAAACACATCCACAAGGGGAACATAAATTCATCGAGAGGCGTGCAACGCTCAGAAATATCCTGCAGATAGCGTCCCACATAAGGGGAACTGCTCCCCTGGGACACTAAACAGGGACGCACACGGTGTGGACGGGTCATAAAAATGAATCACGTCTGAACCGTGCGTGTCCCAGACATTTGCATCACTTTTTAGTGTTTAACTTTAACTGTATTCTAAATAATATTTGTGCTGTCTAGGTTGGTGAATATTTGAGTATTTATCGTGCCTATAGGCGCGTATCCATTTGCAAATGTCCGTCCCAGGACGACCGAACCCTTGAGACAAAGTAGAAACGTGGGAACCCGCTGCTACCTGTAGAGCTCAAGGACCAGGTGATGTTCAGGTCGAAGTTGTTGGAGGCGTTGATGGACATGTCGAGGTTCTTGTTGGCCTGCGCGGACACACGGGAGAAACACACGGCAGGATTAGAGGAAACGGTTTCCATCCAAAGGGGCTGGAAGAGTCAATCCACCATTTCTACAGGCATTTCCTGGGTTACTCGTTGACCGCCGGGGGTTATAAACTATACTGTGTGCACTTTTACTTATTTCCCCTCCGGACTGCCGACCTTTCGCACTTCTTTGTGTACATTTATGAAGACGCACGGGAGAATTTCTTGTTGAAATATTTTCACTCGAGCTTCCGCTCTCGTCTCCTTGGGCATATTTGGATCTATTGGCCTCTTTTGTGTCTTTCCATTGATTCTGTCTCCAACGCTGCCTCGACATTCAACTTTGAGTCTAATCTGAACACACCTTCAGGCTCTGAGATGGAAAGAGGTGGAAGGACGTCGGTGAATCTCACTGTCCACAGAATAAATGTCTCTTCTAGAAGACATATCAGGTTATGACTGCGTCTCGTGTCCCTCTACTATTTAGATTATGCCTCGGCGACGCATAAATCCCCCCCTCATTGTGCGCCCTGGGGTGCACGTGTCACCTGTTCGGGTGTGGCCATGAAGTTGATGCTGGTGTAGTGGCGGTCGTCTTCTTGCAGCAGGCTGAAGGTGAACTGGTAGTCGATCAACAGGTTGTCTGGGCAACGACAAGAGAGACAAAGAAAAAGTATCAGTCGCCCGGTTGGCGTCGGTTCGTCGCCGCACGTTTCAGCAGCAGAGGAAAGACTATCTGAGCTTCTTTCAATCTTTGCTGAGGAGCGTCAGGAGGTCGATTCCAAATCCAAACTTGAAAAAACGTGTCTGACGACGGCCGAGAGTCGATAGTCAACTCACTGAATGAGAGTACGATGGTTAGTCACACACACACACACACACACACACACGTTTTATGAATAGGAAAAGTTTGATTTCTCAAACTTTCCTCAGACGAGCAGCGGATCGATAGAACAAGAGTCCAAATGATCGCAGCAGACGTTTAATCGTCGCTGAAAGCTCCTCGCCGGCGAGACAATGGCCGACGTATACAGGGGGAGTCACGCCGATGCAACATCTGGACAGACAGCAGGAGCCACGCCGGGTCACCTTGTCCGCCCGCCATAGGGGGGAGGAAAGGAGGGCAGGAGGACGGAGGAAAGGAGAGTGAGAGGGAATAGAGAGCAGCTCTGTGGCCGTGAGAGGATTTTCTAACTTAATCAGCGTGACTGCGAAGCCCTCAGGGCATCCAGGTGTGTGTGTGTGTGTGTGTGTGTGTGTGTGTGTGTGTGTGTGTGTGTGTGTGTGTGTGAGACGCATCCAAGGCCAGCTCAGGCATGCAACATTTAGGATTTTATTTCCATCTCAAATGAACGTTGACGCTCTTCTCTTTCCACTGAGCTTTGTCCGTCAATGCGACCGGCGGCTGCAGCGTTCCATCCGCTCGTCGGTCGGGTAACGGGAGCTTCACCTTTTTGAAATAGAGACTTAGGTGAGAGTTAAGCGATGGGCGGCACAGGAACGGAGGTGTGATCGCGCTTCCCTTCAGCTCCACCATCCAGACCAAAGCAAACGATGTCAGACAAACGTTGTTTTTCTTCTGTTCGCAGGTGCACAGAACCGAAAGGGAACCTCACACCTGTTTGTCTGCCGTCTGCAAACGCGTGTGACTTGAAGGCTGTTGGGAACAAGGACGCCAGCCAGGTATAAAAAAAGTTCATCTCAGCGAAATCCCATGTGAGGAATCCGACAGCGGGTTCACTTAGGCAAACTCAATTGCAAGCGTGCTGGTGAGAATCAACGATCCCCGTACGACGGCGAATAGAAATAGACTGTGGCAATTTCTCAGGTTCACAGATGGGTGATCTTATTACCATAATATGTGAGCTGATTCAGCTGATATGAAACAAAACACTGATGATTGGAAAGGAGAAGGCAGACGCCCTCAAGCGGAACCTAATCTGATATCCCAGCATTCTGCCTCAAACAGGAATATAATAAACACGTTTGAAAAGGCGTGAACTCCCCCACAATGTCAGCTTGTCCGAGTCTCTTGCCCAAGTTGCATTTAATGCTTGTTAACAACTCATTATTTCCCATTTGCAACAGCTGCCCGACGGGAGACGAGGTCGGACCGGGGGGGAGGCGGCGCGAGGACAACAGGCCCGAACGGAGCTCAAGGTAACCGGAGGTGATGCGTACATGAGGTCGGGTGACCCCGGCCTATTAGAAACGCCTCGCTCCCAAACAGTGCAGTCATTGCTACGCGCACATCTGGATGGGCCACGGACGGAAACGCATCAAATCTAGAAAATACTTTCAAAAGGGAAACCATTCGATCCCAGTCGGAGCTTCAGCTAAATCCAATTCAAAGTGTTACCAGAGTGTGTGGGGGGGGCATCAAACCTGTGAAGGGTTAACCGGTAGGAACACATGCAAACAGATGTTATATAACTATATTGTTATATAACGAGCGCCCTGCGGACAAGAACCGGTCGGCGGCCGCGGCCTGAACTGGCCTCTGCATCTATCAGCTTCCATTCAAGTGTCTTTGAAAACATTTCAGCACCACGAGAATAACGTTTAATAATATCAAGAGGGAATCGGGGGGGTTGACGGGGGAGAGGAGCCTCGTCGTCCCTCTGCGGCTCGATTCCTGACAGCTCACTAATCAGCTGCACTGATTTTTAATTGGGATTGTGAGGGGGGGGGGCTGACTCCGGACCGACCGGTGGTCGGCTGGTACTCCAGCTGACTGCCGGTCTTCCCAGCGGACGCGGCGGGACACCGGTGGCCGTCTCTCTAATTGGACGTCCCTCGTAGCGGACAGAGATGGAATGTGACGGGGGTTCATTAGAGCATCGTCCCGCCGCTGCTGCTCATGAAGGGCCGGCCTGACTGGGGGGGGGGGGGGGGGGGGCAAACTCATTAAACAGCAACGTTGCTCATCATCAACTGACCGGCGGGTAAAACGCGGCGTCGCTCGTGAGACGAGGAGCCAGCGGCTGGACGCTCGCACGCATCGATTAGATGGAACGCTTCATCGTTCAGGCATCGTTCTGTGTTGTTCAGTGCAGACAAATCAACCAATCAAAAAACACATTGAAGTGTTGAGGAAAAATGTTTCTTAGGGTCCAATATGTATTCATGATATCATTATTTTTAGGGTAAGCAGGGATATATCTACATTAATATATGCATGTAGATGAGTTACTATTAACGGAGAGACAGGAGGAGCGAACAGCATGGATACGGAAAGACAGGAGTCTGATTGCACAAGGTTTAGATGTGCAGAGACACCAGCAGTGGGACGACACGTAGACGCTGGGAGACAGAGCGGGAGGGCGAGTGAGATACGGTCCACCGAGCAGAATGAGCCAGTCAGACCAGCATCGACACACCAGATGGAGGGAGGACATCGGGGTTACAAGGTGCGTCGTCAGAATAGAGTCAACACACCAGACAGGGGGGGGGGGCTAGTGAAGGACGAGGAGGACAATGGTGGGACAACAACAGCAGGAGGAGAGGTAGGTAGTTGGGATGGAAGGCTTCACTCAATCGAATGGTCAAAGAAATGTACAAACTCCGACCGGCAGTGTTGTTGCTCCAATGCTATTGATATGTTGAAATGAATATTGAATATAATCCAGATCTCCAGTGTGTTCTGGGTGTGTGTTACGGTTACTGCCGCTCTTTAACGCCACGTGACGGGAGATGAAGCGCCGTTTATCAGCACCTTCCAATGACATTTAAGACTAATATTGACCCGGCTGCCTTTCCTTGGAGCACGAGGGAAACTGATGGCTTATAAATCGGTGATTTATACACGCTATCTCTGCGCGTGCGTCCACGCGTGTGCGTCTGAGTGCGCTTTGCTCTTGTTCAAACAAAACTAACCCCGTTTCACAGACAACAGAGGAGATAATGTGACATTAATGACGGAAAACACGCCGTCGCTCAAATGCATCTGGAAAACACGGCTTCAGCTGCAGCCATGGAGACGCCGAGCAGCTACAGCCTGTAAAACCGCCGTTTGAGTGATTCTGTGCATTCGAGATCGTCTAAATCCCTCCCACAATACCCGAGCAACGAGCATCGCATTAGTGCCATCTAGTGCCTCCCGAACTCTGTCCTGGATCCAGCTGACAAGAAATAGCGTCCCATCGGTGGACGTCAAAACCAAATGCAACTGCAGGTGAGAGCAGAGGTTCACGCCGTCCTTCACAGGCAGCTGTCAACTGGATCGTCACCGATCACAGTGCCAATTATATTGTATTTAAATGTGCAAATGTGTGATCTTACCCTGCTTATTTTTAAATAATTGATTATATTGTATTGACCTAGAGGTCAAATTCTGCCCCTTATTCATTTAAAAGGGGCCAGATTTGAGGCGACGCGCCTTTAAATGTCTGTAAAAGGAAGACCGGTGACATTTTGAGATTGTCGTTGAACTCAAGTTCGTTTGGTGATCAAAGACACATTCGAGGTGAGCGGTGCAATCTGCGGCGTGACTCCTCTGATTGCTGCGTCCTTTGGAGCCTCCTTCCCCGAAACAACGACAGCTCCACTCCAGCTAGAGGGCCGTCGACATTGACAGCACTTGAACCTTATTCTACTGTGTAATAATATTAACTCCGATGGGTGTGTGTGTTGCTGTGAGAGAGAGAGAGATGCAGGGCGAGGGAGCGTGTGCAACAAAACATCCGTTTTGACTACAGCGTGCCTCCTTCGTCTGCCCTTTAAAAGGGGAAAAACTAGCAATTTGTTGCAAATGAGCTAAGTCAATGTGATCCCTGCTAGAACCTGGGAACAGAGACAAAGACACAAAGTCCTGGTCAGAAACACTTTCTCTCTCTCTCTCACACAAGGATGCTTCCCTAAAAGCCAAACTGGGAAGACTTAAAAGGGATCAGATCAGATGTTTATGGTCATTTGAGTCGTTTTCATGTAGTGACGTATCATCCTTCACAACACCGTATTCCTGCGATGCCCACGCGTGTCCTAACCCGGCTCCGTTTATCGCACCTTCATCCGGCGTTTGAAGTCGGGTTACCTCGGAGGCCCCGCGTGGCCCCGCCGGCGTTTTCTGGTTACAAAAGTGAAACGCGGTTGGACAGATGACTTGAGAGTTCAGCCGGCTCGGGGGACCACGCGTCATGTTAACACAAGACGGCAAGCAGGGTTAGCAGCTGCTCTCCGGCTTCAGTACTTGCTCGGGGTACATTGTCAAGGGACGAGGATTGACATTGTACACAGAATCAGACTCCAGACTCTGAGTGTGTGTGTGTGTGTGTGTGTGTGTGTGTGTGGGGGGGTTCAGGGAGACTCAGGTGTAGCGGCGGTAGGATACTTACAATAGCAGGTTCCCCGGAGAGGGTTACCAAGGTAACGGTTCTCTGAGTCACATCTGGAACGACGCCGGAGACGAGAGACAGGCGGAGAGGAAAAGACAAATAAGGAGGAGAGAAAGAAAGAACAAAGGTGTTAGCATTCGATTTTGTTTTTACAGACACCTTTCTTTGTGACACCGTTTGTGTGTGTGTGTGTCAGGGTCTGCTGCTCTCCTTCTCCCAGGGTGCCCGCTATGAGAGAGAAGGCGTCGCCTCTTTGATTATTTCCTGCATCAGGAGCAACAACGGGGGCCGAATGACGTGGGTGAATCGCAGTGGAAAACGCTGAGAACACGTTCGCCAACAAATAGCCCCTCGCTTGTGCCGAAAAGTCCAACGCGGCTCCTCCGTGGGGGCTGGCAGCCGTATCGATCCGGGTTTCAGAGGCGTAGACAATGGAGAAGTAGTCACGGCGAAATGAATGCATTAAAAAAAAAAAAAAAAACGACGAGTGTGTAAACTGCTCCCAAAGCGCTTGAAGCGTAATCCACTTCTTTAAAGTGTCTCCAGCTTCAGTGGATTCCAAAACCACCGTGGCTTCGTCAATAAACTGCAGAATGTGCTCAAAGCTAGTTGGAAAGTTTTTGCTTTGCAACCGTTTAATAATAAAGATACACAAGTTTATTGCTGTTTTCCTTCAAGGCAGCTGCAGTGTAACGGCTTTAGATTAAAGGCAAAACTTTTGTTCATCTATTTCATTCAGTTAGTAAAACTATATACAAAATATACACAGATCTCTACTATGACGTAAAGAGTGAACATACAGATCTAGTGACTTTAGTAGAGCTTAAGGGGCCTCGTGGTGAACAAATACGCGCGCTCTTAAAGAGAATGTCCATTTTAACACTGAGCCAACGTTCTTAAAGAAAGAATAACAGGGTCAAAGGCTCAACGCGCCAGAGTCCATTAGAGTGTCAAGATGGACGACGTGCACCCGAAGTGGCGACGGGGAAATGATTGCCTGTAATGAACAAAAGCCTGTTATTACACGTCCACGGCCGAGAAATCAGAGAAATGTCAAAAAAAAAAGATCTGCTACGAGAAGCACATGCAATCGGCATTATAATGTCAATGCTTTTAAAATAGCTTTAAAAGAGTCCTGATGGAGGCAGGCAACTGGTCTGTGTGTGTGTAATTATTAATATTGCAACCGTTCTGCATCGTAGACTTTTAGGGAAAAAAGAGCTTACTAAAAAAGGCCTGTGCCTCTGAATGCAGCACAGAATTGTTACACGCTGCTCAACAGGGGAAAGTGTGTCTAATATATGAGACAACGTACAGCGTGATTGACATTATGACGTCGTCAAACGATTCGAAGGTTCTTTAATGAAGTGATGCAGCATTCATTCCATCTACAGAGAGCATCACGTCCACGTCCAGAGGAGAAAGGACAGGGAGCAGGCGGCGAGGACAAGACGTCTTTTCTCCGGGGGGACACCGAAGCACGGACCCAGAGCTTCGACAAAGAGGCGACGCGCACACTTAAGCTGCTTACAACGGGCTAATGGGGACGAGATGAGGGCCACAGAGGACGCGGCCGCCTCCTCACTTAAAACGCACTCCGAGCCAGATACACACTCACACACGAGTGACAAATGCTGTGTGTGTGTGTGTGTTCAAGGGGTGAAAGTGTAACTGTTGTGATCGTTAAAAGCGCCCAAACTGAATCCGTGTGCAGATTTTGAACCGGGGGACCACACGCCGTGCCGAGCTCCGCGCGGCAACGCTCCACATGACGCGCATTGGAACGCACAAAACACCCTCCGCGGCTAAACATGCAAATTAGCAGACAATTAGTGGAGTTGTCTGCGTTTGGAGAGGAGGCCAATTAGAGTTAAACCGATGCAATCAAACAGCCGGGGAGACAATGCTGCGCGGGAGGGAAGGACGGAGACAAAGCGCTCGCGCCGGCTTCGGCCCGCTGGAAACACACAAGGCCGCAGAGATTGTTGGTGAACGCTGCGAAACTCTCCCACGCAAACGGCAGCCGGACATCTGGCGAGCAGCTGATTCTTGATATCAGCCGCTCGGGTAGACGCCGCGTTTCAGCGTTTCTTCACCTGCCACGTTCCCGCGCCGAGCGCCTGTAACAGCTGCTACTGTTCACGGCAACACACGGCGCACCCACACACAGACACACACACACACACACACACACACGGACTCTCAGCGGCAGGATTGGCTGTGAAAGGAATATGTTCTCTGCTGGAGACGCATACGGGAGGACGCCTTCCAAATCTCAGGGGACACATCTCGACAGCTGCAGTCACCTCATGTTGTAGCTTATCACACAGTATCTTATCCTATAGTATCTTATCCTATAGTATCATATCACACAGTATCGTATCCTATAGTATCTTATCCTATAGTAGCTTATCACACAGTATCTTATCCTATAGTATCTTATCACACAGTATCTTATCCTATAGTATCTTATCCTATAGTATCATATCACACAGTATCTTATCCTATAGTATCTTATCCTATAGTATCATATCACACAGTATCTTATCCTATAGTATCTATCCTATAGTATCATATCACACAGTATCGTATCCTATAGGATCTTATCCTATAGTATCATATCACACAGTAATTGTATCCTATAGTATCATATCCTATAGTATTATATACACCGATCTATCCGATAGTATATTATCCTATAGCATCATAGCATATAGTTATTATATCCTATATTATTATATCACACAGTATCATATCCTATAGTATATTATCCTATAGTATATCCTATAGTATTATATCACAGTATCTTATCCTATAGTATCTTATCCTATAGTATCTTATCCTATAGTATCTTATCCTATAGTATCTTATCCTATAGTATATCCTATAGTATCTTATCCTATAGTATTATATCACACAGCATCTTATCCGATAGTATCATATCATATAGTATCTTATCCTATAGTATTATATCACACAGCATCTTATCCTATAGTATCATATCCTATTGTATTATATCTTAGTAGTGGGGGGGGGGATATAGTATACAGTGTCCTGTCCTGTGCGTATTATATATTTATATATCAGTCTACCTGATCAGAGGACATAAGAATACACAAAAGTGATAAAAAAATGTTTAATGGGCTCATTATTTGGGGCACTAGAACAACACACCTTTAAACACACATACGCCCGCCTGCAGTGACCCGGGGGAGAAATTGCTCGTTCATAATCACAACGGCCAACAAATGGCGCTCCACTTGGCACGCCGTTCTGGAGCGACTCAAGCAAAGCAAACAGCGGTGTGACAGAGAGACAGTTAGAGAGACAGAGATGAGGGGGAGTGAGAGGAAGGGGGAGGAGGGAGGGGAGTGGGGGAGTTAACGATAACATGAGTCTCACATGTTCAATCCGACCCAATACGAACATTCCAAGGTTATGATTGACTCTGGACGTTTTGGAACCAGGGATTGTTATTTCATTCCTGTTTACGCGTCACGCTGATGGAAGGTGACAGCAGCCATGTGGCGGGAGGCCTTCTGTGTGAGGAGGTCACGTCGGGGTCAGGAGCGCCGGGAACGGTCACAGGTCACGTGCAGCGCGCTGTAAGTCACAGCTGGAGCCGTGGACGTGATTGGTAGCAGATACGACACGAGTGGCTCGTGAGTCGGGTGTGCGCGTGCACCTCAAACCCGGACACACGTGTTTTTGGTTTGAGAGTTTGGTTCTGACCCGCCACGTAATCTGCATTTAGGATTTAGGAGATAAAAACATTGATAAATACATCTGAAGGAATGCGTGGCGGGAGAGCCAAAAGACAACTTGACTAAACCGATTAAGCGGGACCACTTTTACCATCAAAGCCCTTAATGCTCCACAGCTCTGTGGGAATGAAACAAACTAATCAAAGCAAATAATTAGCTGTAATAAAGAGAACTTTAGCATATCGGACTCTAAACAACTGTAGCAAGTGTACTACCACACAAACACACACACACACACACACAATCTGTCATCTATAACCAACAATGCACAAAACGTGCAATCAGGGTTTTGACAAAGACAAAAGATGATTCTTCATCTGCAGTCTCTTCTATCTCCCTTTTCCTAAACCCCAAACACACACATTTACACACACACACAAATATATAGACACAGACACACACTGTGTCTCTGCACTCGAGCCTCGCCGGTGAGATTTATCGATGCAGCACTTTGCAGTCCGTCTCTGTGTTGTGTTGCTGCGCTGAGCCACGCAGGGTGTTGTAGTGCTGCAGTCGGGGGGAAACACACACACACACACACACACACACACTGCGCGCACACACACAAACACGCATTGTCAGCGTTTCTGCCTTCCTGATACAAACCTATTTTAGAGTAAAAATGTATTTTCCTAAAGTAAACTGAAACTGAAGTAGCAAAGTTGCACACTGATGAAAGTATTGCAACACTATATTTGCAATATTAGAAGCTGTTGCCTTTAAACATCACAGGGGGACTGTTTCTATTAATTAAAGTATTTATAAGAAAGGCATAGTTGGCGCTTCATCATACATGTGTCTAAAAACAAGACAGTGGTCCATTTCTGGCGGTCTGAGCCTCTGCGAGGAGGAACGGGAGAGTCAGGCGCCGCCAGGCAGACGCAGGAACTACTTGTGCTCACGGAATGAACGGAAAAAAGGCCAATCGCTGCCCAACCTCTTTCCGAAAAGAACAGCCGTTGGTTTTGCTGCAATACCGTGGGTGCGTGAGCCAAAGTGTGACATCACCCTGGAGTCGTAATAAAGACGCCGGCTTTCCCGTCGTGCTTGTTGCTTGCTGCATCGTGATATATACGTTCTGACGTCGTTTCACTCGACCAAGTCTCGGAAGGCCGGCTGCATGTGGTTGGGCTCAGGTTGCCGGTTCAATCTGCATACTCACAGTTGGCACTGGTCTCCCTTGATCCCTTTCGTGGAGCAGAAGCACTTCCCCGTGTTGGCGTGGCACACGTTGGCGTGGCTGTTGCACTTGCACGCTGCAGGGGAGGAAAGAGAGAGAGAAGCAGATGTGTGGGAGTCATGAGGACAGTTTCCAGAACCCGACGTCTCCTCCACAGCAATGTGAGAAGTAACTACTGCTGCTGCTGCTTCGCTGCCGTTGAGCCAGGCATCGGCCGAGGGCAGCTGGTGAACCCTGCGTACTGCACAGAAACACAACAAGCCTCTTTACGACGAGTTGCACGAATGCAGACCGAGAGCGTGGGAGGAGAGATGAGAAGAGGTGGAGGAGAGAAGGAAGGTGCAGGAAAAAGGTGGAGAGAGGGGATTGAATGTTTTCCCTCGTTGTGACTGAACCGCAGCTTTATCAGATCCAACCTACACGACTGCCTCAGTGGGATGCGTTTGCTTACTCAAAAGGTTTGGGGGGGAAACGTAAGTTCACCATTTAAGAAAAGGAATTCTAGTGCCGTTTAAACGGAACGCCAGCTTTAATTAAGTATTAAAAGATATTGACGTGCCCACATGGCGCGGACAGTTGTCGGTGACTGTGAAGGATCCTTTGTGATGGAGATCCCCCCCCATTTTGAGGACGGGAGATGGAGCCGAAACATTTTCTAAACGCATTTATATTCCCTATGAAAAAAATAGGCTTCATTTAAATGACCCCGAGCTCTTCCTTGGAACCTACAATAGCTGATCTGTTCTTCATCCCGGCGAATAAGACACAGACAACACGTGTGCTAGAGGCGTCCACCTCGGGACCCCGCAAAGGAAGCAAGCTAGCGAGGAAATAGGCTGCTCATCGCCGTCAGATTTAAAAAGGTGCAACGACGCAAGATGGAATTCAGTAGAAAAAGTAGTAAAACGTCTGGAACAGTTTGGAGTGCATGAGGTAACAACCTGGATGGGGAAATCTGGCTGTTGGAAGCGGTTGTTTTTCGCCCGTCTGCTTGTGATTTGCCTCAGAAATGGGGGCCTTTTTTTTATCTTTTTTAATCGCTTTGTTATGCAAAAAGCACGATGGAGCCGGATGATTCGCACGGAGCCGAGCCTGTAATTTAGACCCTAAATCACTTCTGCATGGAGTGACTAATGGCAGAGACAAACAAGAACGTCCGCTATACCCTTGTGTTTCTGTGTGTGTGTCTGTGCGCGTTCACGTCCACACAAGGCCACTCTTTCCTGTGTCCCTCTCGACTCTGTTCTTATTCCTTCCAATTGGCACGTGGACAGCTCCTGTAATAAACCGGCACGGCGCTCGGGTCAAGGTAGAGCCGAGGCGCCGGCGGATAATGAAAGGAGAGACAACCTCTCCTTCTCCTCCTCCTCTTCTTCTTCCTCGGCGAGGCGATCGGTAGCAGACTTACTGCTTACTTACTCGTTCTCCAAGTTGAGACGCGCGACGGCGAAATGAGGCGGTAAAAGCAAAACAGAACTTGGCTCCATTAACCTGAAATCACTGTGACCCGTCACAGAGGAGACGGGGACCCTCTCGGAGATGCACGGAGAGGGTCCCGCAGGTACCGGAGCCTCAACAGAAAGTGGCTTTTAGACGGGAGATGGCGGAGAAGTCACAGGTGTGTTAGCGATCGAGTCACCGCGCTGCTCACGCAATTTCCGCCCAGCAGGATGTCGACGAAGGACAACAGGTTTGTTTTGTTGTATTTGTTTTTGCCAAATACGGACAGAAGAAAAAGAAAAACAAAAAAGAGAACCTTCGGGTTAAAGGCTTGAAAAGCTGCGGGTTCCCAGGGAGCGAGGAGGGGAGCGTTGGGAGGTGAAGGAGCATGAAGGGGTGAGTGAATGAATGAATGGAAAACAGAACGCTGACATCACAGAAAAAAAGCAGCGATATAAAGAAACCGGATCTCTAAGCCCCAAAAGAAAAAAAGGTTGATTTGATGTAAATCATGTCCCCCCCTAAAGAGAGACCATTCTCACCCCACACAATACCACACGGCTCTCGGCGAGTCGCACAGGTACAGATGAGGAAAGAAGACAGTAGAGAACCTGCTGCTCTGCTGCGTGTGAACTTAATGGGGAAAAATGGCCCTCGCACGTGTTCCTGCGCTTATCAACTCACGTGACGAGTTCACACCCTAAATAAAGCCGATGCGTTTGGGCCAGGCGACTTTACATCAGCAATTATCTTCCAAAGTGTTTCTTTAAACTACTATTCATCTTAGCGCTACAGAGCAGAAAGAAAAACCCGCCTATAAAATGAAGCAAAGTCGTCCATTTGAATACGGTGCTCAGTTTGAGGTTCGAGCTTGCGTTTTGAGTTAGAACACGTTTACTTTTCTCATATATTCTGAATATACGTGAACTAAGTCTTGGCACCAGTCTCTTTAAGCCCTCCTGAGATTTAATACCAATGAAAGCAAGTGGAGGTTTGTACATTAGTATTCTTAATCCTCCTTTTCACTCGACAACTTACTTTTTCCATCATGCTGTCAAAGTGTCACGTTTCTCAATATTCCCTTTTCTTCCGTTTGCTCTAAACCCCCCGTTGCAGAATCCCCTGAGATTATGATCAAACACTCATCCATGAATATTTTTTCATCGTCTTCATCATCACCACCATCAATGTCACCTTTCCACCGACTGCTGACTGCTGCTTTCTCTTTGTCCAGGTCTCCGGACGGGGAAGGTTCTGCCCGATAAGCCGGGCTTTATATTCATATGTTTAATGAAGGGATAAACGGCAAAGGGGGGCGAACGTCACAAAAATGAGAGGTGAGAAGTCTGGAAAATATGTGGGAGCACACACCAGCATGCAGGGAAATAAATGGTTTTAATAGCAAAGAGCCCTTTAATAAAGATTCCTCTCGTCAGCCGCTTTCCGTACGATCCGTGTAGCTTATAAAACCTTATGTGACGTCTATTTATGGCACAAGATTAATACAATAATGCGTCGTAATAAAATACTTTTAAAGTAAATTTCCACTTGATTCAAACAGGAATAAATGTTTGCAGAGATACATTTAAAAATAGATACATCCAAAAGTATTTGAGCTACAGTGTAAGACAAGTGTATAGTATGTATATACCTATAGAGTGCACTCGTTATTTGATGAAGATCAACTGATATCAGCGAGGCAGTGACGTCTCAGGTGAGCGTACGTTTGTTTAAATATGCCGTCTTACTCAACGCCGCTGCCTGTCGGATACGAGGCCGGCAGTATATTGTATTTGTTGCATCCCGGTTAAAACAAAACATGAGTCACAGCCGCCGCTGACAGGAGAAGGGGCCGATTCCTGAGATGAGATTTACAGAATCATTTGTATGTGCGAGTCGGTCTTTTGGTTCAGTCCGTTCGTTGGCCGGGATGAAGCCCGGAATAGAGCTGCCACAGGGAGGACGACTGCCTACCGCTGAGGATGCTGGGTAATTCCGCCACGAGGCTCCACAGGCACATAAAACATTTAACGCAGCACACATCACCAACATGCGGCAATACACACACACATACACACACACTTGAGAAGGCGGGTGAGAGCGAATTTGGCAGACCGGATGGAGGACGGAGGGACAGGTCGAGGGGGGGGAAAAAAATGATAACTACAGAGACATGGCGGACCACCGTCAGAAGAAAACCACAGCGTTAGACTGGTGACACCACCAGCACCTCCGCCTGCACCACGTCCCTCTGCCGAGGATGGAGGTCGCGTCCACGACAACACGTGACACGTTGGAACGATCGATTCCTGAGGTCTGGAAACCGCACAAGAAAAGGACGTCCCGACTAGACGGAGACAGCCAGGGAGGTGGGACAGGACGGACACGCGGCCCCGATAACGTGGATCAGGCTGAATTTATGGAAGCAATAAAGCTGCTGGTGTCAGAGGAGGACGCGAGCTGAGGACTCGCCGGGGAGACACTTCAGAGGGGGGGGGGAGGACCAGCAGAAAGACGGGCCATTCACTACGATTGTGCAATGACATTCTCATGATGCCGATAAAAAACATGCCCCGCCCCCAAGAATGGGCGTCGCGTCTCTGAGGAGGCGGAGCTTCTGGGACAGAGGAGCATGAATCCACTTCGTCCGTCTCCCCGTCCAGAAGCACCGCGGTTCATGTGCCCTTGAGCAAACCCCCGAACCCACTCGGGGCCATCCGGGGACGCCAGGGTGTCTCACAGCGCTGCCAGTGAGGGACGACGTCAGAGAAGCACTCGTACCAGCGCGGCGTCAGAGGGCGCGCTTGATTCCGTACGTGTGCGGGACAAGGTGAGCGGTCCATCCGGAGAAAAGGAAACGCACACGCACACACACACACACTTTATCCAGATTGGACAAGGTCAGTTAATCATCTGTCAGAGGGACGAGGGAACAGACAGACCCCCCCCCCCTCTCCTCTGTCCGTCCTCCGTCTCCTCCTCTTTTTACCCCCCCGTCTCCTCCGCTATTCCTTCAGCCCCCCCCTCCTCCCCCTTGGCCGTCCCCTCCTCTTTTAAACCCCAAGTCTCCTCCTCTATTTCTTCTCCCGCCCCCCATCCCCCCTCCAAGGGCAACTGTCCTCCTCCACGGATATTAACCTTGTAAACCTCCCCACGTGAATTCATCTGTTTCTCTTTCTTCGTTCTCCTGTTGCCTCGCTCGCTCTGTCTCCCCCCCCCTCTCCTCCCCCCCCCCCTCCTCTCTCCGTCTCTGCCTCAGTCCTCTAATCGTCCACGCGTCATTGCCTTCCGGTCATTTAACTCAAGGTAAATCTAGTGCTCCTTTCTATGAAGAGGGATGGAGATGGACAGAAGGATGAATGGCTTGATGGACAGCTGAACTCTTTTACCTATTACACCCGTAAGAGGGAATGACAGGTGTGTAGAGGGAGCCAAAAGGGAGAAAGGGAGGTGAAGATGGGTGAGCGAGCCTCTTCCACCTGATTTCTGAGGAGACGATATTAGAGGAGACGATGAGAAAGGAGACAAGTGGAGGTGAAAACCCAAAAGGACACGAGGAAAAGGAAAGAATAAAGAAGAGAGAAGGGGAAGGAAAGCAAAATGAAGGAGACGAATGGACAGCAGAAGAGGAGAGGAGAGGTGGGAAAAGGAAAGGAGCTAGGAGAGGTCTCGAGAATGTTGAGAAGGATGTTCAGGGAAACACAGGAAACCCCGGAGAGACGGGGAGGCAGTGAGACAGCAAAGGAAGCTGGAGCGGAGGGAAACGCACACCGGGGGCCGTCCTGCCGGCGGCGAGAGGCGAGCATCGATCAGCGCTCGCTGCGAGGAGCCGCCGGGGACGGAGACACGAGTCAACTCAGGAAATAAGAAAATGATTAAGAGCGAGTTAATGTCACGCCGCCGCGCCGAGAAGCACATCTGTCACATCGAGACTGATGTTGCTGCGCCGCCCGCTCAGCCCCCTCCCCCCTCCCCCATTTCCCCACCCACACCCCAACAGTCACTCACTCACCCTGCATCCCATGCAGGCCCGTTCTGTAGCACACGCCTTCCCAAACCCCGGCTGCCCCCCCCATCGCTGCTTCTATTATCCAACTCCTGATCACATGATCCAAGAGACTCGGCTGAGGGACCTGCTGTGATGGAGCGAAACGAAAAGGTGCTGACGGGCGAACGAATTCCAAACGAAAAACATATGAATGCACCTCAGCACCATCTTCCCAAGTCTCTCTCTCTGGATATACATCTTTATATTTATAGATATCTGTGCCGTGTAAATGCAAGCAAGGACTCTGCTGCTCCCACGCTGTGTGCAGACCTCCGTCCCGTCCAAAGAGCACGCGTGTGCCTGTCGAAAGTACACGCTCGACAGCAAAACGACAGTCTGCTCACAGCTTTGAAGCGCTGCCCCCGTCAGGATGTTTGTGTGTATTACAGCGCTGCAGGCAGCTCACTACATGCTGTATGTTTAAAGAGGTGAAGGAGAGACCGAGAGCTCAAAAACACACAGGATGAGATCTTTCAACTTTCTCTTTAGTTCAGTCTGTAAACAAAACTTTGCCAGAGCCAGCTGGCTTCTCAGCGATCGTTTTTTTTCCCCTCCTACGTTTTAAGGACTCTTTAAATAAAAGCTAACGGACACTATGCAGCTCCAAAGGGAAAAAAAAGAGAGAACCAGAAACATGTGGTAGGAACCTGTGAACCTTGTACACTCACCGTTGCACTTCCCTCCGTTGGTGGGGTCGCCATAGTAACCGGCCATGCAGCTCTGGCAGTGCATCCCTGCCGTCAGGTTCCCACAGTGCTCGCACACGCTGCCGTTCACACACCTGCTGTGACCATTACACTGGCACGCTGGGAGGAAACCACAGACACATGCACTCGGGTTATTAACACCCACCTCCGCCCCCCCGTCCTCCATGGAGATCACGTCCGGTGCATTGACGAGTGGGGGAGGGGGGGGGGGGGGTTTGAGGGCCAACAGGGAGGAACCCCCACTTTTCACTGCCGCTCCAGCTGTTCACTCACCGGGACATTGGACAAAGGCCCAGTTGTAGCCTCTGTCGGAGGAACAGAGACTCTGATCCAGCGCCATGTCCCTGTCCCACAGTCTGTCCGGGGGTCCGGCCCTGGAGCCGGCGGGCCTCATGGGGCCCCGGTAGGACCCCTCCATGCAAACACCCCTGCCGGTGTTACTGGGATCGCCGCACCAACCGCACTCCGTCCTCTCCAGACACTCGGCGCACGTCCTCAGACCTGAGCAGTTCTGGGCTGTGGGGGAGGAGGGGGGGGGTAGTTTTTCAGTTTTTAGAATTTCACTGGCAAATATCAACTTGTCAATGCAACTAAAAAGACAAACAGTTGGTGTCCCGGGCGTATTCTGTCCTTCACGCTGTCCAAACGACTTACAGCCATGAGCACGAACCCAATGAACACCTCCAGGGATCCGACGCCTCTAATCTACTTAGCGTCTCTTGTTCTCACCTTTTCTTTGACATTCAGCATTCATAAAGAAATGGACTTTTCAACAGGTTGAGAAAAGCATTTGTATTCATAAAGAGGACGTGACATTCAGAAACAAATCACAAAATGACACTTTCTTTCTGGTATGGCATTCGATACTTGTAATAGAAAAACAAAATCTCCATACAGAAGCACTTCTTTTGTTTGTACTGAGTGCGGCGATAAGTGACGAGAATAAGAAATCAAGGTTCCCTTTTTGTCTGGAACCATGCGGCCTTTCCAGAGTCGACTCCTCAGCTGCTTTCGAGTCTTTCGCTCTCGTCTTCGCTGCCGTCACCACACGTGACAACGAGCGGGAGGCGGCTGTGAGGACTCGGCGGGGGTCTCGGGGGGGGGGGCGCGCTGCACGAGGAACCGAGGGAGCAGTTACCCGACGTGCTGCGTCGAGTGAAATTAGCATCTTCTCCCACTAGTTGCTTCTCTTCAGAGAGCGAGTCATTTCCATGAGCCACAGACGTTAGAGCTGAACATGGACCTCCTTCTCTCCCCGCGTCCCCCACGGGGGGAGTGTGTGTGTGTGTGTGTGTGTGTTTGCAAGCCCCCCCCCTCGCCTGTTGCATTATTCGAGCGCAGCAATGCGGATTCGTTTGTTCTCCGGCTCCTTTATAATTGCAAACTTCTCCTCTCGGATTTGCTCTTTATCTCTTCTCAGCCACATTTTGATCCTCCTCTTTTGCATTTTCTTTTTGCCGGTGTCTCTTCACTGAGTGCCCCCCCCCCCCCCCCCACCCCTCCCTGGGGTCTTTTACGCGCTGCCCTCTATTCCCTCATTTCCTGTCGTTTTTATTTAATTAGATTTTTAGGCATGAGCGAAATCACAAAAGAAAAGAGCTCTTCATCTGCTCTTTTTCATCTCCTCCCTTCATTACTTTTCACTTCTCCTCTGACGACACGCTGGATCTCCGATGCAGTCAACACTTCAAAAGAGAGGCAGTTCAACAGAATACCCACAATCCGGCCCCCCCGCGCTGCTCCGTCTGCTAATAAAGACTTTAAAACCCGGTGAATACACCAGGACGGGATCCACAGACGCTCTTTGTGAGCCAAACGTGTCACAGCTTTTTATTTTCACTGTTTATCTTTGATATAATTCATCCCATTTGCAACCGGCCGTCTCCCCTCCCCTCCCCTCCCCCTCCCCCCCAATGTGTAAAGGAATGAAAGTGAGTTTTGTGTATGTGACGGCTTGTGAAGTGGAGATCTCTGGCTGAGTATATCCTTATCCTTCTGGATGGTTCCTGGTTCTCGGGTGGGAAACGAGATGCAAACATCTCATCACGGCGCAGAGACAAAAGTGTGACTGGCGGCTACTTAAACAGACGCTGATTGGTGCTTTTCAAATTGCTGACATATTCTTTCCCTCCTCCGCAAAATAAACAGTGATTTGCATCCACATTAATTACGTCACAGGAGCGGTTGGAGCCAGTCGAGTTTAAGAGAACGCAGCTTTAACGCGTCATTAAGGGCGCGTATCTACTCCGTCACCCTCACGTTCTCAGCCATGTCTGCACGCGGCCTCCATCCACGTGAAGGAGAAGGGACAGAAATGTAGTAACTAGGTCGAAACCACACAAGACGCGCCGGGGAAAAAAAAACCCAAACATCACTCGCTCAAAGCCTCCTGGAGCTCGAGGCCGAGGCCTTTAAAGTCCTGTCAACAAGCGGAGCGCGGCGTCCCTCCCCACGGGGAAACAGGTGCTCTATGGGACATAAACAGAAAGTCCACATGTCTACATCCATCGGGCCGAATCCGACAACATGGCACAAACTGCCACGTCCCATAGCATTGTAGCCGGTAATAATCACACTGTTTGGTACTGAAAAGAAATTTAAAGCAACTTCCCTCAATTTGCTCAGTTTTTGTTAATTGAGGGGTTCTTGTTTCCAGCGGTCGCCGTGGAAACGTGCTACGTGATGCATAAAACTGTGACATAAGCCAAAGGAAGTCCGTCATATAAGAGAAAGCTTGGTGCAGCACAATCAGGCTGCGATTGGGGGAAAAAAAAAAATCGGCCTCTTTTTGAAGAAGCACCAAAAACTTAAAAGTGGGACTGCCGGGCGGCACTGCAGCTAATTATCCCGGGAAGCCGAAGCCAGCGCGCAGAGAGCCTCCGGGCCGACATGAGAAATGAGAGCGATACGCGAGGCCGTGGGCCACATTTATCTGATGAAGAAATGACCCAGTTCAAATTGGATTCTCAGACAAGCAGTTGTTTGTTTATTTGTGAAGCGGCAGCCGGAGCCGAGGTCGTGAATCCTCCGGCTCGCGGCCGGCAGGAAGTCGAGTGCGAAGCGAGCGGCGGCCGACTGCAGAAGGAGCGACAACGCGATGCCGGTGAGTCTGAAATGTTAAATATCTTCATATTTTTGTGCACCGTAGCTTGACAGCGTGGCAGAACAAAGGCCTCCTACACACCTGCTGCCACCAAACGGAGACATGCATAATAAAAGAAAAAAGGAGATGCGGGAAATAACGGAGCCATTATTTAAGAGCTGAACTGAAGACAGAAAAGGGAAACAATCTCGGCTCGCTATCAGCGGGCCGGAGAGCCGTGTGGAATAACAATCAGCACTCGGCAGATAAGAAAACGTCAAACTTTTTGTTTTCTTAAGTCCTCGGAAACAAGAAGCCTCGGTGCAAATTGGATATTTGTTTAACAGAAGAAAAAAATGGCACTTTTTGCCACAGGGAAATACTTTGACAGTTTGATTATTTTATCAATTTTTTTTCTCACCAGAAACCCTTTTGCGCTGTGGAAAGAATATGGCTTTATTTCACTGCTTTTCAAAATGAACACGGTCACGACCTTTCCTCGGGTTAATCAGGGCTTCTGTCTATCCTCTGTTAAAGGCAGTTAGCTTTGATTATTGTTTGATACATAAATAAAAATAACAGGTAAGGAAGATCAGGAGAGCAGGAGATCTCTCCACGTCCACTCGTGAAACTCAAAATCAAATGCATCAGAGCGTCTGCATCCGGCCCTGCTGGATCTCTACGGACTCAAAGGGGAACCACGTGGTGGAGCTGGAAGGTTTCCAGCATCCCCAGGGTGGTGTTGCTACGAGAGGTCGTGTGTCACTGCACATCTTCTCCCCCGTAGCCGCAGGAGTCCGTGTTTGTGTGTTGGACAGGCGGAGACCTGACGGCCGATAAGAAAGCGATCAACGAGAGTCTGTAACTTCTCCATGTTCACTCAACGCGTCTCTGGGCGCATCATCAGGGGCGTGAGCGGAGCCGTGAGCACCGCCTCCGTCATCTACACGCATCCATCTAAGCTCGCAGCCGCACTTCAAGCGTGTAGCTCCTTCCCCGCTGACGTCCACTAACACGCACCAACACCTGGCTTCAGGTTCCCAGCTGAAGACAAGTTTCGAGCTGTTAAACACACGATAAGTATCTATAGACGAAAAGTGCTCTGAATTGAATTCACTGATTCAAAAAGGAGAAGAGTAAAACGGACGGTTATTAAAAAAGACCATATAGTGCATAAAAGACACGGACACGGTCACTGTGACGGAGACATTTACCTCTCAAACCATGGCAGCCTTTCCCAATAATCCTCCTCGTCCCTTCCTCTGCACGAGCTGACGTGCTGCATGAAACAGACTTTCCTACTCGGGGTGTAACGATTCATTTTAACAACGACTCGATTCGAATCGCGATTCATGGACGATCTGGTTTAATTTAGAACGATTCGATTCAGTGACTTGAAAATAGATTTAGTAACTTTACTGGACAGTGCAGGCAAAGTTTCTGAGATCCCTGTTGTTTCTTGTAAGGAAATCAGGTTTAAATGAATTATGGATATTATAAACTAGCAAACAACAATTAATGGCAAATGTATTCACCTTTTATTTGAATCAAGTGCCATTTTCAATGTAAACATTACACAATAATTACACAATGTTTGGATCAATTCACAGAACCCCGGATTTTCAACCTCATTGTCGGTTCGCACGTCTTTACTGATAAACTTGTTACTGTGATGTTGAGTTTGGTGCTGGCGAGGCCTGAGGCGTCTGCAGAGCTGCAGTTACCTGCTGCTGCTGCAGCGGTGACGCTGCTGGAGGTCCTGACTGTCGCCGTTGTTTAATCCCACGGCGCCTTAGTAGACGGCCGGAAAGATTCGTCGTGTTTCCGTGGTTTTCTATTTGGCTTCTACATATTCTACAAACAGCGACCGACCAAAATGTTTCCAGGCGCTGGATCGATAAGTTGGTTTGTAAATGTCTCGCTCGCAGTCGTCTCCTCCACGCTGTGTTTTGTTGTTGTTTTGTTGTACTGACGACGTCACAGACAGGCAGACTGAATCCAGTAACGTTTAACGTGTCTAAAGTGCTAAAAAACAAACAAACACACAAACATCCACACCGTTTTTTGTGCTTAAATCCAATGTGCAGTTTCCAAGTATCGATACAATCGATTATGTACCATTTCAATCGCTTTGTAATCGATATATGTCGTCCGGAATGCCGATTTGCGGAGCACAGATCGATCCAGTTGGATCGCAGGAATATAAATCGATTAATCGATTCAGCGGATGAATCGTTACGCCCTTATTTCCTACGTATCGGCCCCTTTCCTACCGAAATATCCCCCTTGACTTTGAGCCTTGTCCCGGTCTCACCTGCGCAGTCCTGGGTCTGCCACTCCAGGCACTGGCCGTAGGGGAAGGAGATGACGTAGGCAGAGGAGTCCACGCAGCGCTGCGTGCTGCCGCACCACATGCACTCCATGGCCTGGCTGGTGCAGTTGGCGCAGCCGGCGCGCAGCGAGCACGGCGTCCTGCAGGGACGAGCGCTTTTCATCTTGGGGCTCCCCTTTTCAGAGGGGGACTGGGGGTCGAGAGTTTACAAGTTTATTCCTCATGAGAACGCAGTACTGTAAATGAATACGCGGCGTCGAACTCACCGGCAGGTTTCTCACAGATGAGGCCGTCGGCGATGGCCGTGCAGGGGTGGGCTCTAAGCCCCGCCCCCTGCGCCCGCTCCAGGTAGGCACAGAAGCCCGCGTCGCTGGGCTCTCCGGGTGACCACCGCAGGCTGGTGTTGGTGAAGGGCGACGCGTCCTCCCAGCCCCAGTAGGACACGTTGATCTTCCTCAGGCCGACCCAGGGGGACAACGTCTGCAGGGGACAAAGAGACGGTAAACACAATGCGGCAGCGTCTTCAACATCTCCTCTGACGCTGAGGGGCCGGGCTGCATTTATGGTCGTATTTAAAACCATGTTTTCCGCCATATGTTATATCAGTAGAGTAGAGAGGTCAATCTGAGAAAATAAACCCCAGCAATCAATTTCTAGGTCAAACGTGGTAACAAAGAATGGAAAAGAAAATGCAACAAATTGAGCTGCACTCGCAGCCGCTGAAAGAACATTAAAAAGACCTCAGATGCTTGCTTTCTTAGTCTTGTTATTAAAGAAACAAAATAACGAGCCCCAATTGTACGCAGTTCCCATGCACACACGGACAGTGCCCGAGAACAGTTCGTAATCATACAGAAGACGAGTCCTCAGAGTGAAGCAACAAGAAGTCTCCCCTTGAACAGAGGCGCAGTGACACGCTGGTAACAACAAGCGTCGCTTAGTTTGATCCCAAATCAAACCTTCTGCAAACGCCTGTAATCATTGCAACAGCAGAAAATGTTCTGATTTGAGGAAAGAAGTTGAAAAGAGACTTAAGAGATTATAGTAGCTGAATGAAGCGGAGCAATGTGAACAAGTGAGTTATTTGCTGAGAAAACAAGTGATATTTGTTTCGTAAAAGGCCCATAATGATTAAGAAAATAACGTCATCTGATAGAAATCAAGATTTTTCCCCAAGCGTTAAAAAAAAGAAAAAGATAACAGTCTGTTTTCGTATTTACGCCCAGACTACTCAGCGGCGCTGTTTGCACCCCTTTGTGATCTGGATGGTATCTGGTAATTGAGTTTATTTCAGAGATAGTGAACTCATTTTGTGATTGTAAAAAAGTGTAATAACGAAAGAGATTTATAATCATCATGACATGAAGAAAAAACAACTGTTTTATCTGCACAATTGTTTTCTTCCTTAAACAACAAGGATAAACAACTTTATATGTATGATGTTAAAGTGATACATGGATATAATGAAATGAGCGCTCCCTCCTCTAAAGGAGATGTAGCAGAAAGCAGATGTTTAGCTTTACTACGTGGTGCAGAACTACAATGATAACTTCCCTAAATCCCAGTTTCACCGGGATAAACCAAGCGGCTACGTCAGGACAGACCACCACCTCCCAGTGATTCACTTCTTTAGCTCCGCCCACCTTGTCTTGCAGTTGGTGCTTCTGCAGCTCCTCCAGAACAAAGTTGACCTGTTGGTCTGTGAGCAGAGAGGCGATGTTTCCTCCCAGGTTCTTGCAGTAGTGCTGGGCGTTGTCGTAGCTCTCACTGCTGGAGTTGATCCTCAGGCAGGCCTCCCCGACGTGGTGCCAGCCCTCCCCACACAGCTGGCCTGCAAACACACACACACACACACACACACACACACACTTCAGAGACAACTGTCCCTTTAATAAGGGTTATTTCCTTCACTTACAAGAAGTGTGCAGATGTGGAGACCACGAACACCAACACTGGTGTTTTAGTGTTTCAATTCATTTTTCATTGATTGGTTAATCGAGGGGCAGAAATAACAATCATTGGGCTGATTTTGGACGTCATTGTTGGTATTTGAAACCAGATCCCCACAGTCAAAGAGCTGTAGATGAGGTCACACACGAGATAAAGAAAAGTCCTCATCCGCGGTGGGAAACGGCCGAGAAACTCGACCAAAACAAACAGACGGATATTTAAGCGGTCGCTCGGTAGCATCTCGTGGGAGTTTAGGCACCGTTCACTTAGCCACGATGAAAGGGAGGAAAAAGTCCTTCTGTCTCCACCGAGCACGGGACAGATTACAATCACAGGTCCATAATGGCTTCCATCGCCAACCTTTTCATGAAAAAAGAAAATACCCGTGGTCTTTGTTTATTTGCTTTGCCCCAAAGCCACAGCAATGGGCCATAATCTACGGAACATGAGAGGAGAACCGGAGACAGATGACGGGGAACCAAACACAAATTAGATGAGGTCACGGTCTTAAACATGCCAGGCCATTTAGCATAACTGATCATAACACAGCGTCCAGGAGAGGCCACGGCTAGTTTCCTGAAACCTCCCACTCACGGCAGCTGGATCAGAGGAGCGGGAGCGCCTCCTTCGCCACCATATTACCACAGTTTATGGTCTCAATAGCCCTGCAGTACATTTTGGTGCCATTTAAAGTGGAAAAAAAGGAGCGTGGCAAAGTGTGACATCATGGTGACTTTTTGCGATCCTTCAACAGCCTCTTCACCGCTGTGCAGGTGACCGTGGAGGTTCCAATCGACAGTATTCACATGCAACCAAAAAACGATGCACATTGTGCATTTTAAACTGTCTACAGCTGTAAGTCTGTGAGTAGCAAGAAAGGCATTTTCCCTTTAGCTTGATTCGGACTAAAAAGGAGATTCATGAATGTCCTTAAAAAGTCATTTCTCACGCTACTGCTGCATGTGCGTTGTGTGTGCGCGTGTGTGTCTCCTCACCAGGAAGCGCTTGACACTCCTGCTGCTGCGGCTCCCACTGACAGTTGACGTGGAGGGAGCAGCTCCTGCAGTTGGCCAGCCTGAAACACTCCTGCTCCTCCCGGCGCTTGCAGCCCGCCGCGCCTCTCACCGACTTCAAACAGAGGAGACAACATCAGGCCGGACGGGAGCTCCTCGCGCCCGCCGGACGGGAAGCGGAAAAAAAAAAAAAAACAACGCCATGTGCGGCGCAAAGCACGGGACGGATAAAGTTTGACGGTTGGTAGAGACAGAAAGATTGAGAGCGAGAAGAGAAATCGATGCGAGGGACGAGACGTGCTGAGGTGGACATTCAAGCTGTGTGCGTCTCACTTCTTCCGCTTCTCTCTAACAGAACTTTATTCAAGTAGAAACGTTCTTCTGCTCAGAGGAGATGGAAGAAGCTAAGCTGATCACCGTGAGAAGGTGTGTACGTAAGCAACAGAATTGTGATGTCAATTTTGATTCTCCACAGTTTGCAAGCCACCCACGGGACTGCTCTGACCTCTGACCTCAACCACACGCAACCCGAGCAGCAAGTGTCAAAGCGTCTCATAATACACACATGTCCCCTCCTCCTGGCTCCGTGCTTCCACAAGCTCAGCTGATGTTCAGACAACATGGTCGGTGGACGGGACAGAGCGCCGCCATGCTGCTGCTGTGCCAGCTCCAGAGTCAGCTACGCACGCACGCACACACACACACACACACACACACACACACACACACACACACACACACACACACACACACACACACACACACACACACACACACACACACACACACGTTCAGATTCACATTGAAACACAGACGTCGAGCAGGCGAAAGCAGCATGCAGACACACAAACAAAGGACAACAGAGGAGGCGGGTTGGGAGTAAAAGTAGAGAAAGAGACAGAGAAAAAAAACTAAATGAGCCACAGAAGAAATACAAAGTTATCTCACTGAAATACACAACTTGTATCACATCGGAAAATGTGCACGTTACTGTTTGAATTATGAATGTTCACGGGAGGAGAAAAAAAAATTCTAAACTATTATTCACGTTGACCTTTCGACCCCTCAAGCGTTCGCTGCTGGATGGCCACAATCATCCCGAAGTTATTTGTTCCATCAAACACTCGTGAGGTCTAATAAAGCCCGCGGGGGTGAGAGGGGGGTGAGAGGGGGGCGGGGGGGACTCACCACGGTGCAGTTACTGGAGGCCGACATGCACTTCCTGTCCTCACACCACTGACAGCCCACGTGTTTGGCGGTGCAGGCTGGCGCAGTCAGAGAAGAGGAAACACCGCTCGTCGTACCCGTCTGGAGGGGGACGCACAAGCTCATACATACACTACACACACACACACACACACGCACACACACACACACACAGACACACACACACACAGACAGACACGCACACGCACACAGCGTCCTTTGTGAAGCTACAGAAGCATTTAAACGTTTTATGAGCGTGACGGAGGACTTGACTCCCGGTGAACGAATCCTTTCGCCGTCTGTGGTCTCTTCTATGTGACAGCTTTTTATGCTGGTTTGAAATTGCTGCTTTTCGTTCGTGAGTTTGTTTACTGTGGTGCTCGTGTGAAAGAGCCACGTTAGCCGAGACCTCCTCGAAAAAGAGATTATCTGGCCAATAAAAGTTAGATAAAAAATAATTGTAAAAAAGATGAGGACAGCAGATCAAGTTATTTCTTTGCTGCAGCCTGGTTTGTTATTTATTTGCATCATATTGTGGAGATGCTTTTCCTCTCAGAGTTCCTCGGCTGAATCATGAGAAGAGCTAATTGCCGGTGCAGGTGGACGAGCATTTCCAGGCAAAACTCCTATTACTTGATCATGTGACCCCCAAAGACGATGCGGACTGTGAAGGAATGCATGCAAAGGGAGGAAGACGGGGCGGACAGGGGTCACCTACCAGGTCGCGGCGGGCAGAAAGGAGCGGGGACGCTGTGCTCGGCTGCTTTGGGCTCCCAGGGGACACACCTGCTCTCCGCCCACTGGCAGCGGAGGCCCGGCCCGGCAGCGCCACACGAGGCCGGGTTGGAAAAGGCCCGGCAGGACGGAGGGGTGTACGCCAGCACGTCGTTCAGAAGGAGGCCCGAGAAGCCGCCGAAGATGAACACGGAGCTGAAGACGAGGAGAGGATCAAAAATGAGCGGCAGCTTCACAGAGACGGCATCCGGCCTTAAAGAGCGCGAGACGCCGGCGGAGACGAAGAGCGCTGAAGGAGTGTGGAGGCAGCAGCGGGGGGGGGGGGGGGGGGGGGACGTCTCACAAGATAAAGCTGAACTTTGGTTTTCAGCGAGGGGGGGGACGCTTCGGTTTGACGACGGCGTTTTAAAGTTCAAAGCTGACATTTTTGGCGCTCAAAGCCGACTGGCTGGTGGTTAAATGGGGTTAAAGGGTCGGACCGCTATTTCTGAGTCCCATTATTCCCATTATCTGAGCGACATTATGGTTTAACGACTCAAACTCAGCTTGGAGATGATCAGCTGTTTGTTGTTATCGGTATTTTACGTGCCTTTAAAATGTTTTGTTTTATTTCACCGATGTGGTGAAAGAGTAATTTAGTAAAAAGGTTAGACACGTCTGTCTGGTTACCTACATACCAAGAGGTCACAAGGCCTCTCAATCAACAGACAGATAGAAAAACCTCCGGATAGAAGAAATAAACAACGTTCCTGCGCAAAGAAAGCAGCCAAATACAGACAGATATACAGTTCACAAAGTTGTGTAGGAATACAGAGTGCACACGGAATCTGTAGATTGAGAATATAAAGAAAGTTTCAGGAGGAGCATCCAAATATAGAGGTGCAGCAGCGGCAGAGAAGGCCCAGGTGTCTGAACACGGAGCTTCACAGGAGTGGGAGAAGTGACTTAAACCCAAGACTAAACTTAGCATGGAGACGAGGAGATCAATCCATCAACAAAACCACAAGCTGTCAAAGAGACTCTCGGTAGAGGACACGGCAGGAAGACTTCAGGAACATGTAAGACTGTGGGAGAATAATGAATGTGGATGTGTTTCATTTGCATTTATGTAATTGACTAGTTTATTTAGCACATTTTGCCGAGAGCAGCCTGCGAGGACGGAGCTCACCCGTTGCTGACTACGGCCGAGTGTCCGAACCGGTTGGCGTCCCGGTGCAGCCCCGGCCTGGGGAGGACGGTCCATTCATCGCAGGCTGGAGAGAGAGGAGCGAACACAAGAACACGCGTGACTGAATTCACTGTTACAGGGAGACGATTCAAAGACAGAAAATGCAAAAGAAAAGAAAGCGTTTCATGCAAATACTTTGAAAAGCAGCGTTGAAGGAGATTTGGTCCAATCTGCATTGGAAATAGGACCACCCAGTTTATGCTCCAACCCCCTCCCTTGATTCCGTCCCAAGGAACAAGCACTCATCATCTTGGCCTTTCCACGTTGAACCCTGGCGATGTGGAGAAGATAGTGGGCCGATAATCTGGGGCCACGACTTCATAAAAACACTTCATACCACTGAATACCCTCATAAAGTCTCTCTCTCTCTCTCTCTCTCTCGCCCTCATAATTGAAGATATAATCTGTGCATATTTTACTGTAGTGATTTTACTACTAGAGTGAATGAATCAGGTGTAAATGTGACATTCAGTCACATGGGGCGGGCGCCGGTGGGGCGGAGGACTCGGGGGACGCCGGGTCGCTAACGGCCTTGTTCAGCCAAGCAGGAGCGCTTGTTTAAGAGCGAGGGCCACATTTTTAGATGTAAAAAAAAAGAAAAAAAAAAAAAAACGAAACAACTTGTTTTTTGTTGAGATGGTGAAAAGCACCACAGCTGACAGCTAAAAGCTTATGGCTCCAATAACACAATTAAAGAAGAGATAAAAGCTTCAGTGACTTTCGATCTGATCCTCTGGCTGTCCTGGGAACGAACACACACACACACACACACACACACACACACACACACACACACTTTAATTTCCTCTCAGGATATGAGAGAATCTGTGTTAATAATGCATGGTGGGACGGAGGGAAATCATGAGACCAGATCGAAGCTGGCCGGCAGGCTGATTGACAGCTTGATCTGATCGGCACTAATGGAGGTGCTGGTGGAGGAGCGTGGCGGGAGGTGGAGGAGGAGGAGGAGCAGCAGAACAGTTTGCTCATCCTTTATATCTCGGCTCCCAACATCTTACAAACAAACCTGTGCCACGTGTGTGTGTGTGTGTGTGTGTGTGAGATTGTGCGCAGCAGACAGTGTGTGGGTGTGTTCCTCTGTTGTGTGTCAAGTTAGAGGACTGCGTTTTTAATCAGAGTTCATTTTTCTCCCCCAAATCTAATTAGACGTGTAAGGGTGGCAGAGGCTTGAGTGAAGGGGGGGGGGCTGTGAGGGTGAGAGGGAGAATTAAATCCAAATGAAAAGTGCCTTGCGTGTCGACCTGAGTCTAATGTGCGGCAGCAGAAGAGCCGGAGAAGCTAATAACCTCCAAGGTTAGAGCGGCAAAACAAAAACAAATTAGTGGTGGAAAGATCTCCGCTCGCACTGAGCGCAGAGCGGGGGGGGGGGGGGGGGGGGGGGGACTTCCCCAGGGGGAAAAAATTTTTTTTTTTGGGGGGGCCCCGGGCCCAAGGGGGGAAGGAAACCAGGAAAGGAACCCAAATGATGGGGCCCCTAAAATTTTTTTTTTATGCCGGGCCAAAAAAGGCCTCTTTCCACTTTAATCCCCGGTTTTAAAATTGTTTGTTGGTTGTTGTCGATAAGTGTTGTGAACCGTAATAATGCAGTTCTACAGGCAGGATATAAATCATTACAAATATGTTTATGATGCAATAAAGAAGTAGGTGTCATGAGGAGTGTTACCAAAACATCAAACACTTTACATGTAAATATGTAGCAACATTTTGCTTTGCCCCAAATGTCTTTAACTGGTTTGTTCTTTTACTCTCACGCTTTTCTATTTTTCTCTCCTTCTGTGCATCATGTCTCCTGTCTCCTCTCTCCTCGGCCCTGATGGTCTCTTCCTATTGCTTCTTCACATTCACTGCCTCATCCCACCAATATCTTTATGGCATTTTCCCTTTTTATCGCATAATTCAGTGGACAAATTTGGATCAGCATGATAATGGCACACGAAGAGGGGATTTTGTAGATCTAGGATTATGTTATATTGAAAAGTTCTGGGGTCTCCTGTCCGTCTCCGTGCGTATACATCCACCCTTCCTGCTCCCTGTTCTTTCCCTCCACTACTCAACATCCAACATCCTCACCATCTGCTCTGTGGTGCAACTGGGCAGCTTGTGATGGGCTTCTTAATCATCTCAACCCCCCCCCCCCCTCCTTCAAAAACTCTTTAAAAATCTCGGGAGTCGAAATATTGTTTTCATCACTCCCCACCTGGTCAATTTGGTCCCGTTACTCGTGATTATTTATCTAAATCCTGTTTGAAAATGTCTTGTAAAAACTACCGCGGTTGAACCTGAACGCCGTTGGGATGTGTCGCGTATCGCCCGTCTCCAACGTAGAGGAACGACCAGATGAACCGAGTGCGACTGTCAGCCACACACACCGCTGTGCGTCATTACTCATTACCTGCTACTTACCGATATCGTACGCCAGGAAGTCGGCGGAAAAGCATTTGGCCCCGTTGCTTAACGACGTGTCGTTGTGAGTGTTTCCGCCGAAAACCAGCAGCGCGCCGCTCAGAAGCACCGCCGAGTGGAGGTACCGCGCTACATCGCTTCCCTGAGGATCAGCTACCACACACACACACCACACACACACACACACACACAGGTGGAGACACATTTTGGAAAAGTGTTAATTTGTCAGAGGTGTGGATGTGGGTTTGTGTGTGTGTGTGTCTGCATGGGGGACGTGTGGGGGCGGGCCTTCGTGCCAACTGTTCACGCGTGTGTGGGGGGGGGGGGTGTTTTGGTGTACACACACACACACACACACACACACACCCGCGCTATAACACAGACATTGTGGGAGGTCGGCTGCCTGGGACCCGTCTGTCTTTGAGGGGGGGGGGGCGGGCGCGATATTCAAAGGTCACGTACTGGAGACCAACTGTGGTGGCTTTCTGCAGCTTCTTCAATTACTGCAGCTCAGCCGTTCCACAGGAGACTTTGATATCTGACGGCTCTTAAAAAGGAGCACAATTAAATAAACATGTTTTTAAAAAAAAGAGACCTATAGTTGTCCACGTTATCACTACATTGAGATTGACAAGAAGGCGTTCAGGCGACGGCCCCTCGGACGCTGAGCTGCAGCTGGATGGAAGGACACCCACACAAACGGGTCGGTCTGGGAACTTGAAGAGCGACACCCGACTCCGGGAGACAGATTCCATGTGGAAAGCGAGAGGCGCGGCGGGGACCCGCGCGTGTGCGAGCGCGCGCATGTGAACGTGGCGAGACCCGAGTCCCGGGGGTTCCTCTCGCACCGGTCCACCTGCCAGAGGGTCAGGCGAGGTCAGACCACCTGTCGGCTCCGTCAGCACGCCGACTTCTTCTCTCTCTCCGTTTCCAATTCCAAAGAACCAGCGGCACCGTAACGACAATCATCACAGCGGCTTGGTCGTCATTATTTCTATCGACCTGTGAGCAAGCATTCCCCTGAGGATAAGTACGCGACTTTACACGCTGGTTCAGATAATGGCAGAGTGCCCGTGCAGCCCGATTCGGTGCCATTTGCGCTCCGGGTGTCCCATTTCCCTGCGTGTCCTCACCATGTCTTGGTGTGGACGTGGTAGCGGTACATGTGGTCCACCAGGCCGTGCTTTTTGTTGTTCAGAGGCTTGTATCCCCCGTGGACAAACACGCAGCCGGCGGCCTGGTCGTACGCGCTGCTGTGGCCGTAGCCCCCCTGCACCGCGGCGCCCTCGGCGGGCACCACCTGCCAGGCGTTGGACCCTGTGAAAAACACACGGAGGGCTCTGGTTACTGCGATGTGACATTAAGAAAGCTTTTCCTCGCTCTGGCAGGCTGGAGCGTTTCCCTTATCAGGCCAAAAAAAAAAAAAGAGAGAGAAGAGCAGAAGCATATTTAATTCAGCAGGTGAGATGGAGCGTGGGAAGAGAAGGAGCAGAGAGGCGGAGCGAGCGAGCCAAGCAGTAAGAGGGAGGAAATGAGACCTTATTGAATTTGAAAGCGCCCCCTTTATTAGACCAGCGCGATGCAGGCCGGTGAATTCCGGTGAATGGAACATTTTATTAAAACAAGCAGGGAAGAGAAGGGACGCGAAACGAGAAAGGAGGCCTGAGGAGGAGGAAGAAGTCAACAAGCCTGAGAAAAGGAGCCGTCATCTGGAGCGCTGAGCGAGGAACTAAGTCAAAGCAAAAGTCACTCAGAGCGGAGAAATCCACGTAAATTATTTCAAATTAGTCTGCACCAACAAGAATTCACCGTAAAAAATATTGAATGGGTCAGACTGGAGATCGGACGGCTCAGAATCGACATCTCGATTGTCAGCCAATTGCTCATCCTCAGCCAATCGAGCCTTAAACACGTCACACCTCAAAAAAGATTAAACGATTTCCCCCTGTGGCCTGATGGGTTCTAGATAGCACACGCAACACAAAACGCGTAAAGTCTGTTATAAAAATGTCACGTGATGGCATTACCGAGGAAGTGAGGAGAGAGTTTAATTTCTCCGTCGAATTCACCAAACGCTGTCAACTAACAGCTGATCAGAGCACGTCCTCATTTGGAATAACTGTGTCCTCACCTGTAACATTGTAATCAAAAGTTGACTGGGGAGAAGCTGTGCGTCTGTCCAGGAATATTGACGCGCGCACTTAACGGACGACGTGTCACCTTGTGATGATCATGTTGAAACAGCAGCGATCCAACGGGAGGAGCAGAGAATGTCCAATCAGAGAGAAGGAGACTCGGTGAGGAGGGGGGAGGCCAACGCTTCTCTGATCCCCGCGAGCTAATTGCTGTGAACCTTCCTCTCTGAGTGGTCATTAAATCCCTTTACTCATAAGACTCGCTCCTCCGAGCCTCTGAAGCCTAATGATGCTCAGCCAGAGAGGAGGAGGGAGGCGGGAGGGTGGAGGTGGGTGAGGGTGATGAAAGTGATGGACACACGAAGGGGGAGGAGGAAGAGGGGGAAAAGGTGAGGAAGGGGAGCAGGAGGTGAGCAAGGAGGTTGCCAAGCTGTGTCCTAGAGGAGGAAAAGGGAGCAGGGGGGGGGAGGACATGAGAAGGAGAGAGGAACAGAAAATAAGGGAGGAAGGAGAGAGAGGGAATGCTTCAGTTTCATTAATCACTGTCTCCCCCCCAGACGCTGCAGCCTGAGTGCCACCTCCTGCGTGTGTGATGCATGTTTAATAGACGTGTGTACATCTGCATGCATGCATGCGTGTGTGTGCGCTCTGTACAACACTGACACCTACTGGCTAAAAGTGGCCAGAAGTAGGAGACGAAATAGAAATACGACACCCGTCTGTGGGTGAGCAGCCTCCTCCCCCCCCGTGCCCTGCATGCCACAGGCTCACCGGATTGGTCGGGTTCTTTTTAAGCTAAGCGCGAGTAGCGGCGACCCAGTGACAGCGGAGCGGGAGGCGTTGAGCACTTACCGATGTTGTACTCCTGGACCTTGTTGACGTAGCCGTAGGTGGGCGAGTAGCCGAAGAAGACCAGCATCACCTGCTCGCCGCCGGCCAGCTCCACCACGTGGGCGCTGTGGCCCTCCAGGGCGTAGGGAGGCGGCGGGGCTGGCGTCCGCGGTGACCAGGTGCGCCGGGGGATGTTGAACACCCACATCTCGTCGGTCACGTTGGCCGATTTGGCCTCCAGCTTCCCGCCAAACATGTAGATGTCGTCCTACACGAGAGGGGAGAGAGGCGCCGATGAGCACGTGATGATGATGATGATGATGATGATGATGATGATGATGATGATGCAGAACCTGCTGTTCATCTATACGCTGATGTGGAACACAGGTACAGTGACAAGAGGAGGCCTTGTTCTCTTGAGGCTTCAGCAGCCTCAAATCCTCCCCCCTCCTTTTTATTTTAATCCCATTATTGATCTTTGGCCACTCGGGTGCAATAAGCTGTAAAAATACCTAAATTGGCACATTTAACCATGATCCACAGTTTCTCTTGGTGGGTGTATTTCTGGGCACCCGAGGGTGCAATTTGTACAGCTAAAGGTTGATGGAACTACAAACTTTACTTCTTGAGTGGTACGTTTTAACCCTGAAGTCTCACAAGTCGGTTGATGACTCGGGTCCAAATGTGTTAAACTCCTCCTCCACGTTTCGGTCTGTCGCTACGTTAATATCTTATCTCCAAGGACACCTGTCACGTGACAATGACAAATGGAATATAATATTTATAGAATCGAAGACGTTCTCTTCTTTCGTGAAGTTAAAACGAGCTTTGGTCCTCTTGAGATGAAGTGAGGTCATCGGTTTCATCCCGCCCTTCAAGTCAGGGCTCGCGTGGAAGAGTTACTGCGGCCCGCAGGCCGCCGCGACCTCCTGCGGGTCTCAGCTCCATCACGGCGGAGAAGTCCCTTTTAATGTCCATTCCACCTCCGTCCTTCACTATCAGATCACCTCTTCTGGAAGGAAATATATGCAAGTGTCCCAGCGTCTGACAGGTCATTTGACGCTCACAGGTATTTATAGAGGACACATGGAAGGCCGGCCGGCCGTCAGTGGTTCAAAGAGGCAATGATTACTTTCGTTATTGAATCACGTGCGGCGATGAATAAAAATCCAATCTATCAAATGTCCCAGACAGTGACGTCCGGTGAGTAAGTCTTCAAATGACTCATTCCCTTTGTCTAACAGTGAATGTGTAAAGTATATTCAGTTGAAAATAACTCGGTAGTAAAGCAGTAAAGCTCTTTTTTGGTGGAGTGGAATACAAAGTGCTTCCAGACTCTTACCTCACAGCGTCATTTAAAACTGAGCGCATGTGTGAATCCTGAGCGATCAGTGACGTGCACATCTGCTCTGTAATAATGAGCTGCAACCGAAGTTACATCGAGTAAAGTAAAGCTGTCAGTGTTTAGAGGAGTCCGTCACATGAGCGGGCTCTTGATGCAACAAGACCACACACACACACACACACACACACACACATCCGGCTGATGGAAACTTGGCAGGAAGATTGATGCTAATTGGCTAAAAGTGTCGTACAAAGTGAAGAGTGTTCACACGTTTAGATGAAAGACATGGAGGAAGACAGAAGCACAACATCCTCACGTCCAAATGGACCTTCTGTGGAACAGTAAACACTGAACAGGCTGACTACGCTCAAAAACATCTTTTTTTGTGCCTCTCTTAGACTAGGCCATAGCTGTTTATTTATTTGTACAGTACCGCTTAAGTTTCAAATTGATTCTGAATGAATGAATCCTTATTACATAAAAATAATCGCCTGTACCTACCTGGTACAGAGCCAGCGAGTGGCCGTATCTGTAGAGAGGACCGCTGCTGACCGGCACCACGTCCCACGTTCCGCTCTCCAGGTTGTAGCTGCACACGGAAAAAAGACATCACTGTGTGTATGATGTCATACCCGCCCGCCTACACTACATGATGGCATTAAACACGAGGCCTTTGTCTCCTTTACCCTACTTTATTATTCTCTGTATGGACTCCACCAGATGAGACGTTGCTTCAAGTACGATGCAGATGACTTACTGTTAACATTTGTCTATTTGACAAATGTCACAAACAGCTAATTGTTTGGATGGTTCGTCTTCACCCAGATGAGGTGCTGCTTACTTGAGGACCATGTGGTAGTTGGAGTAGTTGAAGGAGTATCCGCCCACCACCCACATCAGGCCGGAGTGCACCAGGGCCCGATGGGACGCCCGGCCCAGAGACTGAGCCGACGGCTTGACGCTCGGCAGCACCCAGAAGGCCTCGGTGGAGGGGACGGACAGAGAGCAGTCGGGACCTGAGGAAACATCGAGAATGCACTCACACACTCGCTGGGATGAGGGACAGAACATGCCCGCGAAGACGAAAAGCATACGCGTTTCTGGCTCTGAACACATGTTGCTATGGCAACCAGCCCTTTTTTTACCCCACTGTTTGTGCATTAGACGAGTGTTGTGAGGCTGTGTGACCGTCCCCACCTGACTCATTACTTCACAGACACACACCTCTGTGTGTCACTGATGTCTTCGTATTATTTTATGGTTCGCTTAGAACATTTATGAATAAGCATACATTTAGACCTCCTTTCTTTTGAACAATACATGCCTCACAAGAATGATACAAAAGCCACAAAGAAATGAGGTTCTATGTGGGCAAATAAAGTGCTTCACTGAAAAATCAGCATGCAGGCAATGTTTTAAGATGAAGTCTAAAGTCTCACAGTTCAGGCTTTAATTCATGTTTTTCAGCCAGTGATTTATTAACCTACATTTGTAAACAAAATAGACCAAAATACTTTCTGAATTATCTTGTGATTACAGTATAAATCCAGAAGGGGGCAGCACATCCTCATATGCTCAAACTTAACTGTACTAAAATAACTGGAAGGGTTGTATGATAATAAGGAAAACAAAAACAGCACAATAGTACTACTACCACTAATACTACTCATAATAATAAGAGTAATAACCATTCAGGATCAAATGTGTTCTGGATTGTTTTGAGAGTAGAAGTTTACCAGGTAAAGACGGTTTACATCGTGTTGAGATTACACACGATTTATCAAATAAAAAAAAAACAATAATAATTTGTGTGTTTGACATTGAGAAAAATAACAAACAGGATCGTTATGTGCTAAAAAAAAACTGCAAACATGGAATCCAGCAGCATCTTTACTGCATGAACTGCATCTTATAACTACGGTTTTGAGGACTGCTACAAATACACCCGTTTTTAAAAACAAGGTGTCAATTCCTCAGGTAGATGCTGATGTATCATCAAGTTGCTTAGCGGGCTGCTGAGCAACCGCAGAATGTTTTGCAAATGCAAGATAAACAACTCCAATAATGAAGCCCGGTTTGTTTTAGAACTCCAAACATTATTGAATCAGGCGACGTTATGTTGAGCACAAACAAGAAAACAGCTGCTGTTGAGCTTTTTTTATCTTCTACTGTTGTCAGTTCCATTTTCTCACTAAATTATCAACAAAACTGAAACGTCAACAAAAACCTTCTTCATTACAGGCATCTTGAACGGTGGTATTTGCTTTCAGAACAAATAAACACCGGCATTGGCCTGTTTTTAACCGATTGCAGAATAATCAACTCAAGGTGCAACATGTGGAGTTAATAACAACGCCTTGATCTGGTGTTTCGATGCTAAATCACATGTAACAGCATCGTAAAGCCCGACAAAATTAGGAAGAAATGCAAATGTTAACAACGCGTGGGTGAGACGGTGGTGCAGTTTAAACAGCATTTCAATGTTAAACATAAACGTATGTAAAAACTACCTTTTTCTGACCAAATGTAGACCCGTTTTAAGCCAGACATCAAGACGCTTTTGACCTTCAAGTCGGTGAATCAACAACAAATCAGAGGAAGTAACTCAGTAGTTCAGTCACAGCACATCACACTTCTTCTAGTCCTTTCCTGTCCTCGACTCCTCCCCATCATCCCCCCGTATCACCCCGTATCACCCCCGTACCACCCCGTATCACCCCCTGAACACAGAGTATGGGAAGTTCGGGGGGGGCGGAGGATGTCGCACTTGCAAAGCATGATTGCAAAGCCCTCTGAGGTTTTTTGATTTTGGGCTATACAAGGTGAATTGAATCCACCGAGCAAAAAGAGTTCCTAAATTCACACCACCCCCCCCCCTCGCCCTCCTCCCCTCACCTTGCCAGCTGTCGTTGCAGACGCACAGCTTCTCCCCCGTCAGGTCGCAGTAGCCGCGACCCGGGCTGCCACAGTCGTCGCGGCAGTACGGGACGTCGCAGGCCTCTCCCTTCCAGTACTCCTCGCACTCGCAGTAGACGCGGCCCGACGCCGAGTTGGCCGTGCTGCACCGGCCGTGGCCCGAGCAGTTGTTGGGGCAGGAGTTCATCCTGGAGGGGGCGCGGGGAGACGGGAAGAGGATGCAGTGAATACAGTTACGTTATGTTACTTTGAACAAAAAAATTTAATGATGATGGAATATGGAAGTGTTTTTTGTGCCGAACCCCTGGAGACTCATCAGCAACTCTGCAGCTCTTAGGAGCTTTTTTTTAACACTTTCATCTGATGGATGGTTTTTGTACTCGGTTCAGTCTCATAAATCACATTTCCCGCGTTTTTCAGAGAACAAGCTCTAAATAAACGTACTGCTCACTGCCCGGACCGATCCAAAAAGCAGACAGATACGCTGTGAAAGCAAGTGGAACATGTCTGCTAAAGAGGCAGATCTCTCAGGAGTTGGTGGAGACCAAAGCGGAGCTGAAAGGGAAGCGAACGTTAGATAGATTAGATTATTAGATTGATTATTGCACCTACAAGATGCAGCCAGTTTAACCGGCAGTCGGATTTGTTTGAGTTAACCACGTTCATGACACAAAGGAGTGTCCTTGTTCACGTTATCAATACTATCAACATTGGATCCATGATAAAATATGAACTTCAGACCACAAATAGCACAAAAAGCAGAGGTTCTTTAGCACTAAACTCAGTTATTTGTTTGAGAGGGGCCTTTTTCCCATTTGTTCCTATTGAGTCTGAATGCACTTACTGCAAGTGGCTGTGCACAAAAGTGTCTATTAAATGTAATGATACAAGGAAGCGTGGTAAGAGAGATGGAGCGAGACCGATATAATTCAAAAGAGAAAAACGAGAGATGCTTCAGCCAGAAGGACATAAAGGAAATTACACAAAGGAGACTGAAAATGAGGGACAGTTATACATCCCGGAAAACAAGACCTTCGATAGCTGGAAAAAAGATGGCACATAAAACACAGGTTTGCCTTTACATTACACACTATTTCTTCTGTAGCCTCAGATCAATACAGCTTGTGAAGGACCGGAGGTAGAAAAATCCTGCTCTCGTTTCTACAAAAATCTTCGCTTTGGTGCTGTGACAAGAGGGTCGCCATGACAACTCGTACCCTCCACCCTCAGGGTGCGTACATGCGAGCGCGTGTGACTGTGGACTGTGAGCCCTCCTCCCTCCTCCCATGCGTCGGGGAGACGGGTCGGTTGTCACCCTTATCACTCGCTGCCATATTTCTCACGCTTCATTTCTGACACAGTATTCAGAACGGAAGCAGATCAAAGGTTTTGGTCTCCGCTACAAAAATGGGTGTCTTAAAAGTAGACTAATTGTTATTTTTTCAAGAAATAGGGGGATGGAAATCATTTGCGCAAACCAGACGAAACCCGTCCTTTTGGGATTGTTTTGAACAATATTAAGAAGCTAAAACTACAAAACAATTCATTGAGAAAAACATTTTAAAATATCTACCCATTTATTTTTCAGCGTGCTGTATGTCTCATTCTTTTTGCCCCTGAAACTAATGAGACGCAAAATACATACAGACATATACATACGCCTCTCGGCGTAGCCTCAGCAAGCCTGCTGATAGCTAACGGTGCTAACCGCTAACAGTGTTTACCTGCGGGGCGACTGGAGGGTGCGTAGCAGAGAACCTTTTGTGGTTTCCATACACATGTTCAAAATGGTAAATACTGCTTATTTACACAGTATGAATAGTTTTTAATATTTATTATGGGTTTACAATCTCTGATCCCCCTAAACTTGCTCACAACCAATAACTAAAATGTATTATTTATATTATATTTCCAACCGATTTATATTATTTATATTTTAGCCAGCCATTAATCACAGACTTTCATATCTTATTACAAAATGGAGTGGATTCCTATGTTTAGTAACTACAATAAGAAATTTCCAATTCAATTTATATTTATGCGAACAGAACAACCAACAAAACAACCGACCCCAGTCTCTCCCATGTTACGAACTCCATCTTTGGCCATCACTGCTGCACAAAGCGGCCTGGTGTGTGTGAGATGTGCAGACAGATGCACAGTGTTGTACTGTACTCTGCTGTACAAGTGACCTTTCAGGAAGGTCTGGAAACAAAAGCACAACAATAAAGACTGTGCTTGCCAAACCAACACCAGTTTATGTCCAAACAGCTTTAAATAACCAACATTAGAGAATTCTGTGTACTCATGCCTTCACAAGACACTAACGTTAGCTGGTTAGCTGTAAGCTAACGGAGGTTACATATAAGCTGCATGACGGCAGGATGCAACTCATTCAATTGGTTATGTTACTATCACAATATCTCACTAAAAGTCACCTTAATTGCAATAAGTGTAATAACAGCAGTGGTTCCTTCTCATAGTAATGAGATGTTTTTACCAGATGTTCGGATGCACAGATGACGTATTGTTAGCCGTATAAAACTGACAGCTCGTACAACACTTTTTTTTATCGCCCACATTTTTATTCGCTTTAGTGGGAACAGGTGTAACAAATTTCATTAACGATGAGTCGGTTCCATTAAATGTCCCAGTTAGTCATTCCAGGGTCGGAGGTTCCACAGCTCAATATCCCCTTAATGGGACTCATTAAGGAGACCTATCAAAGAGTTTTATGTTCCCAGCATTGCACTTTTTACCTCAGGTCAAATGTTAAATGCATGTAATAGAATTAGCAACCTACAGCTTATTTAATTAATTGACTTTTATTTAGCCAACAGGATGCCCTGCATCCTCTTAGGTCTGAGTGTGTACTTATATCTTCGGGATGAAGGTAAAGTATTTGCAGAACGCAAACTAAATGTTGAGCGCTTGTGTTCTGCTTAACAAGCCTCTTGTTCTGAACTCTGCACGTCTACTTGCGCCTTCATCAATCTTCAATCGTTTTGGGATTTTTTTACAATGCTCAGCGCTTCTGTTATATTTGCTGTCATCTTTGCTAGTTAACAATCTCTTGATATTATGTTGGGCTTGTTGGTATGATTTGGCCTTCAAAACCATTTTTCTTCATAGGCAGAAAGTACACCTTTGCTCTTCCTGCTATGAGTACCTAGCTAACGTTAGCTGGAAACATAACTAGCTAACGTTGTCTATTAACTAATGTTAGCTAAATAACAACCTCATATTAGGTAGTGTTACTAATGATTGGGTTTAAGAGATACTAGCTAAAACCCCGTAAATATGAAGTGTTTTTTCATATTAATTACTACAACATAACAGCTGGAGATGATAATAATGTTCTTTAAGTAGCTATTTACAAACTATTTACATAAAGCCATTTTTGTCACGTGTAAAGAAGCCTGGCTTTTTAGATGCTAGTTGTACCACTTTCATGGGGGGTTTGCGTGAGATATTGGACGTGTGGCGTGATTGCGTGTGAAAACATGTAAAAGGTGTGTGTCACACGGCGAAACCGTGACAGTTGGCAGTTGTGTTATCAGTAGTTGCTAACTTTGTCATTTGGAATTGGTTCGTCCGACAACACTGTATCCGTCTCAGACGGGGGAGACGATTGAAAGGGCGAACGTCTTGACGTACGAGTAGGCGATGCTGAAGCCGGTCAGGTTGTAGGCGGCGTCGCTGAAGAAGTGAAGCAGAGCGTAGCCGGACGTCGTCACTACCTCGGGGACCGTCTCGTTGCCCCTCGTCTCTGGTACCACGAGGCCACTGGGAAAGACACCGAAAGAGATTGAGCCCGAAGAAAGAAAGACAGACAGCCCCCCGCCGCCCCCCCCCCCCCCCCCTCCCCTCTAAGACAACAACAAAATGTTAACATTTATTTTTATCTGTTTGATGAGGTTTTACAGTTTTGGGATATACAGTTTTTATTGCTCTGCCTTTCTGTTAACAAACGCAACTGTAAATTCACGCTCTTCCAGTTGAAAGTTCTCATCCCCCGGAGGCCAACCATTTCCCATTATTTCCCTCCAACCATAAGGTAATGTCCCCATTTATAATAAACAGTAGTAAGCCTTCATTATGTTGGGTGCTAATGCTACGCCGGTCTGAAGCTTTTGTATATTTAAATGCCCAGATAATCTTCCCTTGGTTGGAAAAGGCCAAATTAGATATTCCATATCCTGGGAGCAACTGAACCCTCAACCGGAGATAACCCTCTATTGAGCAGAAATTGAAAGCTGGAGGTTCTTACATTATTGTGGCTTTTTTTAATGAATTCTTGTCACATGAAAGAAGCCACCCACATGCTTATAGATTGTCCTTCGGGGAGGGGGGGGGCAATAGAATGCATGCAATAAACCTCCATGAACAAGTGGTTTTCAGGGCCGATGTGAGAAATTGCAATATTTTCTTTCTATTATTTCTGCATCGTGGTACTATGGTAATCGCGAGGCCCTTTGTTTGCAGAGTCATTTGACTGCATAAGGGAGTAAATTGTTAGAGCTATTGAAGGTGTAATTTCCATATTTTCCCCCCACTGCCCCTCTCACAGCTCTCCACCGTTCGGAATGGCGGCCGCTCACCTGAAGACGGCAATCAAAGGGGCGTAAATGGAGTCTCCGTCGTAGACGTACATGTGGTCCCAGCTGCACTCTGTGGCAAAGTGATTGAAGCGCAGCCTGAGCACTGCGTTAGGGCTGCGAGACCGGGAGGAAGGGGAGACAAGAACGCAGTACGGATGGGTATGATGGAAAGAAATAACTGAATTTCAAAACTCTTGATTACCCATACGCTCCATTTCGTTTTCGCCCATGATCGCAAATTGACACACAGAACATCAGGGAAAAAAAGTTTCTATATTGCGTTCATTGCGGGTTTTTGCATCATTATCCCAATCAGGTCTTTATTTTACAATTTGTAGTTTAATAACCTCCTTAAAAAAAATGCCACCATAACGAGGTGTATTGGTTTGTGTGACCCAGTGACCCCGTTAGAAATAGATAATGGATGGTTTCAGAACTCAAAACCAGGGTACTAGTGTGCATATCATGAGCAATGTACCAATATCTTACTATATATGTGTATATAACAGCCAATGTTGACCTAATGGTGAAAAGCAACCTAGGAGTACAAGTGGATCCAGTTACAGAAGAACAAAGAAGCTGTTGTTCTATTCAAAAGTGGGAAAAAAAAGAGTGCATTTACGTATCAGTAAGATATAGTGAATAGATAAGTATAGATAGATAAGTGTGTAATTGTTGATAAATGGAATAGAGGCAAATGAACATGCAGTTATGGAACAATGCATTTTTGAAAGCCTTAAATGTATAATGTACTTTAAGTGGAGCTGTTGCTGCCAAAAGGGAGAGAATTCATTCATTTTCAGTTTGTGCTAATTTGATGGAGAAAATGAACATCAACAGCTAAATGGAACTAAACACGATTTATTATTTGTATATTGTTGTATATTATTTATATCCTTACAGTTAGTGACTGTTAGAAGACGTCCCATGTCATGACAAGTGGCAACACCGGCAGAATAAAATGTATCCCGTATTTCACATCCATCCCTGAGGGGCATTGCAGTGCGGTAATTGGGCCCAAAGCAATGGAGCACGATAACTACATACAAAGACAAACTGCTTCCAATTACTGAGCAAAAAACAAAACAAAGCTCCCTTCATCCGGAGCGCTTCAGCTAGATACACAGCTTTTAACCAAGCAGAACAAAGCAAGATGAATGATTATAGGGGAGGAGAAGAAAAAAAAAACGTCATACTTACTATCCTTCTATCAGCCAAGTGCACTTGGTCTTGTACTTGTAGTTGACTGGTCCATCTGTGAGAATGCCCGAGAGCTCCGTTAACCTAGAGGAAGATTTACAGGGGGCAGAAAAGAGGTTCAGTAAAAATAAAATGTCACATGCTTCCTCCCTTCGAATGCAGCCTCGGTTTATATAGCTGCTTCTCCAAACGTTATCTTGTGACCTCGCCTGAGAAAACAAAGGGACGCGTTCTTACTTTAGCACCATGTTAAAAGTAATGTTTGATATTCTGCAGCTGTATCAAGTATCATACATTCACAGAGCAATGGGAGGGGGGGGGGGGGCATGGGTTTGTTTTAAAAAAGACTTAAAGCTAAAAAGAAAGTTCCTAAAAAAAAAATGAGTACCCATTGTTCGAAATCCATCCTAAACCAGGAAATGGTGAATTGGAAAGGACCATTTCTCTGCAAAATAAAATCGGCCGACAACGCATGAAACATTGGAAACCGGCGTCCTTCACATTTTTTGAAAAGGGACATTGAATCAATTTAAATTAGAGCTGCTGCTACAGTACGAAGGTGCATCGGCTCATCAACGCGAAGTTCATATTGAGCCGTTTCAATGATTTCCTTCCCCGCTCACATGTTCAATAATTCTGAATACTCATGCACTTACATCACATAGTGATTGCTAGATCTCCTCAAGATGATAGTTCTGCGAATCGGATGTCTAACATCTGCATAGCCTGCGTCAGCCATTCAGTCTCTTGGTTTTGAATCAATAATCATAATAATAATAAAATAAAAACGGTTGGTCCATGCCAACGAAGAGAAGCTTTTCTCAAACATACCAAGCGACATCGTTGCTAACGGGCCTATTACATTTCCCCCCCCCTGAAACCTAGCAGCTCATCTTATCAAAACCCCCGTCTGTAAGGACTTTCCTCACAGCATCGCACCCTCTACTGTTCCATCATCAGCCGACAGAGAGCTAACGTTACACCTGCCGCATCATCTGCATCCTGCACTCCAACTAAGTAGATCTCCTCGCCCTCGCGTCTGCAGAACACAACCTACATTATTTAACTTCAGGCTAATGCAGGTGCTTGATGTAGTGGGATTTCGTCTTTCCTTCTGCCTCTCTGCATACTGTAGAAATGGATATATGAGATACGAGTTCGTAGTATCGTAGTGTTGTCAGCCGGCGGTGATTACAAGTAGGTCACACTGAGCCCTGACTGAAGGAAACACTGACGGCAGAATAACAATATCCCTCCGAGCAGATAAAACATCAAGTCGCACACGTGTCAAGGTAGTACAGTGGATGCCGCTGTTGCCATGGCGACCCCAGCCTGACATATTCATGTGGCAATTGAAATAATCACATTGTTGGCTTGAGTTCAAGTGGGTGTGTGTGGGTGTGGGTTGAACACCGGTCACACCTGTCAATCACTGTAATCCAATTCTTTAGCTGGATAGGCGGAAAGGTTGAAAATGGAGACACACACACACACACACACACAAACGTAAGCATCACAGCCGCTGAAGATATCGTAGTGTGCCTCGGTTTGCACGGGATGTGTGTGTGTGTGTGTGTGTGTGTGTGTTGCCGCTGCCAGATCAGACAGGCAGTGAGAACAATAGAGAGTGAAACTAATTCTTATTGTGTCTTCTGGGTAAGGGGCCGTGTAATGAGATTTATTTATTTATTATTTAAACCACAAACCACATTGTGGTTTAGGGAGTGGGGGAGGAGGGAGCCGGGGAGGTTGAGGCAAGCTAAACCAAGTTACAATAAAATACTTTAATTAGGTAAAAGAGAACATATCGATGGATTCAAATCAGATCAAATGACAATGAAATGAAGCGAAGAGTGTGAGTTAAATCTGTTCAGCTGAGACTGAGCGAGTCACATTAAAATGAATGATTAAGAAGTTGAACTTTGGCCTTTAAATAGTTACTGTTGCATCATGTCTGCAAGCAGTGAAACAGCATCACTTCCCCTCATATATTCAGTCTTCTAGGCACAAGAGATCACACGAGAGAGAGGAACTGACATTTGAGCGCCTCGCCTGGCTCGTAAAAAAGTACAATAATTGGATCGCTCTTTAACAAGAATTTGCCGAAGGACCTCAAAGGGAACAAAGCGGAAAACAGGCCGCGTCATCATCGGCTGCATCGTCCTTCAGAACGAGAGCACGAGCGTCTGCTCTGCAGCGAGGGGGGAAGAGGGGCATCGGACAGATTGCAGCGCAGCCGGACGCGGCCGCAGCAAACGCTAGAATCCTGCCAAATAAAACACACACACGCAGAGCGAACGCGTGTACGCACACACTCACAGCACCGCGAGGTCGGAAGGAGTTTAGAAAAAGGTTCAGGCTCTTTGTCTCCTACCGCTACTCTCCGCCCCTTCACTCCTATCAATCCCTGACCATCGCATTTTGATCCCACGGCTTTAATCCCGGATTAGAAGGCAAAATATTCCATCAATCATTGCCGGACTCAGAGGATGAGGGTATTGATGAGGATGGAAGCGTTTTTATTATCTCTTTGTTTTCTTGCTGAGGATGAGACACATAAATATTGCAGAATATACTGCCTTTGGTCCCGTCTAATTACGGAGAGATTAAAACATAAGCAAGAATAGAATGCATGGCTTTAATCTAAAACAACACTAAATGAACAAGGGATCAAGTCATTATTGCCTTTTCTGTACATTATGGACCTTTTAATTCTTCTTATATTTAAAACAGAAATGGGGCTTGCATTGGTTGGCGCGATGCCGCCGTCCCATCGGCTCATTATTCCAAAAGCCCATTAGTGAGATGACCCGTTACTACGGAAGACAAGCGTCGCACTGAAAATACACAAGAGGCATGGCCCGCCCTACTCTGCCTCTGATTGGTTTACCCGGATATTCTTCCCCTCACACCAACCAATGCCTAACCCCGACCCAGCCAGCCCGACTGTACCGGACAGACACAGGCAGAGCAGAGCGGGTCATGATAATGGAAAAATATCACTTTCCAATAATAATCCGCCACGTCCATCTTTTGTTCCAGGCATCGTTTGCATTTTTCTGGAAAAAGTTGCCTCTGGAGCAATGGGTTTTTCATTTTCGGGGTAACAGACGTTTTCCGAGTATCGGGTTTTGGAATAATGAGTCATCAGGACAATTAGACAAATTGACCGCTGGAAATCTGCCAGAGAGAGTCAGTCCTGTGTGTATAATTTATAAGACGGGTAGATGAAATCCAGCATTCTGATCGGTTGAGAGTCACAAGTAACAGGTTAGATTTTGTGCGACCAGTTTTCAGCTGGCGATCGCCGAGAAAAGGCCGGGAACATCACAAATGATCGTTTTCGGGCGATGAGAACTTTCGCCGCCGGACAATTCAGGTGGACGACATGAGCGATGTGAACGAAGGAGGTGCGAGGCAACAACACCCCCCAACTGTTCCGTTATTGGACATTATTAGTACAGCCTCTCATACCTTATTGCTTACAATGACACCAAAATTGATTTCTACAATGTATAATTGGTTTAACTAAGTTACTGTAGATTATTAAAAGGATCCATTCTTTTCTTATTTCCAACCTATCTTCGCCAGAAGGATGGATCACTTCCCCCACGATGACACTGAGGGACAGTCCATTACAGAGCTGACGCACTCGGACAAATTCACACCCAAATTCACTCGCATTGGCAACTGCAGCATAATACGTCTCAGTCCTGAGGGAGGAAGCTGGGAACCTGCTCAAAAAAAGCTCCGGTCTGCTGCATGATTCAGAACCAAGAGCTTCCAGACAACCGGGCCAAGAACCGAATCATGGGTGTGTTCGGATTACATTTTGTCCTGCTTATTCAAAATATACCTTTTGGTATGGTGGTAACCGAGTCATCAGTGACAATTCGGCGGCGGAAAGGAATGAAACGGAAGGCTCGGCGTGGCTCTCATCACGCGCTTCCTGGTTGAGTGAAACCTCTGCGAGAGGCTCCGCCCCCGAAGTGAAAACATGCAAAAGGCAGATTCCTTTCATATTGAATGAGATGGTGGCGAGAGTGGCCTCCGACAGCCCCAACAACCCCCCCCCCCGCCCCCTTCAGAAAGGTCTCTCCCATTAATCCCCACCCCCAAAATAGTCGGACATAGAAGAAGAAACACATCATTTATTTGCACACTTGCAGACACGAGGCACACACACACACACACACACACACACACACACACACGCATCGAGCTGAGGTTAAAAATGACCACCAGAGACCGCAGACAGTGTAGGAGCTCACAGCATGAGGCCAAAGTCACAACTTTCACAGATACCATTGGACTAAAGCCGAGGTCCACATGCACACACACACACACACACACACACACACACAAAAGAGAGGAGGAAGGCGGTGGGGGAGCATGAGGTAAGAGTCGGATGAGGGAGGGGAGAGATAAAACGGAGACGGGGACGAGGGGATGAGCCGTGGAGGAAGAGAGTCCGGCACCCTTTGAAATATTCATCTGCTGCGGGTGAATAATTGATGGCGTACAGAAGACAGATGCATGAGGGCGAGACGGACAAATGGATGGAAAGAAAGCAAGAGGGATGGAGACGCGTGTCTGCAGGTAATAAAAAGGTGCAAATCTCCCAATTTACGGCCTTTTAAAGATCGGCGATGACCTGGCGCTTATTTTACGGCCGACTTGTGTCACAAGAGACGCCAACGCCAACCTCTTCTGTTTCATAAACACGGGACACTTGGGGAGAATAAACGAGTCCACTGAGGACGCGATTACAAGATTATGTTGACATTTTCAAAAATTGGCCTAATTATATCATGATCAATATTTTTTTTTACTTTTGCCATGTGAGCGAGCCGCATGAAGCAGAAAACATTAATAAAACATAAAGTGGAATCAAAGAATTAAACACTCGTGTCATTAAATATGAATGATTACAAATGGATGAGGGGCGGCTCCAGAAACGACCAACGAGCGCTCAGTCAGCTGCCTATTTGTTATTCAAAGAAGCCAGAACATCAATTTCTCACACGGTGGAGACGACTTTGACTTAATCAGCCAGAAACAACGGAGGAATTAGCACTTTGTTT